TTCCAGTGTTATCACAAAATTTAATGCTGTCACATTATTTTGTACTGTCAGATATCATTAAATCAACATGTGAACAAAAAACACTGATTTAAAATGCAGAAACAAACACCTGAAGTATGGGAATGCAATTTAAACATATTTGAACACGAAGTAACATTTCAAGAAACTCTCATCAAAGTTGAATTCCTGGAAAGTATAATTTGTCTTATGTATGAATTAGGTCTCATGCCCCTCCCCACTTTTTAACCTGAGGATGGAAGCAGATCTAACTTCTGAAACGTTGTGTTCTTTTAACAAAAACACAGACGATGGACACAGTTGAAAAATTTAGTGATCCCAACAGTATTATCTTTTTTTAAATCAGACATCAAGATCTATTAAAATTGCTGAATTACATGGGTGGGTCATGGAACATGTAACTTCTTCAGCAGATGGCATCTCACACCAAACTTCACAACAAAGTACTGCAGCTCTAGCTGAGGAATGGTACTATGTACTTGTCTATGACAGTTTTGTTTGTGTGCCAGTCATAGTGTGAAACTCCACTCAGCTCAATCAGTGTGAGTCTCCCTCTCTTGTCTAATGTCTTCAAACCAAACTTGTCCAACACATAAGCTTTACGACCCCTCAACTCCACAACTTCTTCATTGTCATCAAAGTAACCAAAGTGACTGAAAACAATTGAAATCTACTGTAAGAAACATGTTACAAGTTCCTTTTTATATACAGTTAAAAGGTCTGCACACTTGATTAAGGCCATAAAGATGTTATAAAAATTTTATGGACTGTGAATCGATAAGGATATTATGATAAGCAGTGCTGCTAATTTAAAACAATAACCAAGCATTTACGGGATAAGTTTGTTTCCAGTGGCTCTTGCCTAGCACGCATGCAAATAAGAAAGTGATGATAGGCAGCAAGTATCTCTGAAATGTCAGTAAAATTATTATGGTTTGATTGAGTGAAATAAATTAAATTTGCAGAATTTTATTCCTTTACAACATAAAACTGGGTTTAATTAAAGCAAATTTTACATTAAGTACAGTCCTTTTCAAAATGCATCCACCAAGTTAAACAAGTTGGACAAGGAGCAAATTCAAAGTCGTGTAAAGCAAGGAACAAAACGTTCCTTGAAAGCATACAGCTAAATTCTATATATGAAAGTGGTGAAGCGAGAAACAGTACAACATTCATAAAGTTTTCAGATGTTTCAGTACTATAATTCAATTATTTAAATTCATATTCTAATTAATGACCCTACAGCATAAGAAAACAATACAGAAGAACTGTAAAATAATATTATGAATTTTTTGCACACAATTCCAGTTTGCTTTTATAACATTCTAAATTAAATCTAACACAAATGATTCTTATCTATACAAATACTTTTACCTAAGTGATTAGGTAACAATATACAGCATTCCAAATTAAGAATTCTAATAAAATCCACAAAAATTATTCAACTGAAAATTAAAGTAAACTAAAGCCTTAACTAGCAATTCAAATCATTTCCTTAGTAATTTCTTCATTGCACATAATTATGATAATTTCCAAATGGAAATTACAACACTGATTCTCAACTTCATAAATCACAAAACAAAGTCATAGAGTTCTCTGTAAAATCAGAAGGATAATCAGACTTTCTGTTAATACTTAAAAGTGCTCAAAAAGTTGGACAGGGGATCAAATTTGCTGTAAATTTAAAGTCACAGCAATAAAAGTCTGGAACCAACAATTTACAGGACAGTGACAAAGGTTTCTCTGGTTGAATTGCATCAATTGGGAGTTGAAGTAAAGAATTTCAGATACATTCTCTGCCTCTTATCACCATTATTCTGCAATGATGACAGAAGAGGTGGTCTCCGAAATGTTTTCATTTCAAGTAATATACTTGTAGATACAAAATGTTAACAGTCTGTGACTTCAGTAACTTAAAATATTTTAACCTAAACTGAAATTTCTTAATAACTACTCACCTAGACTGCCAAGGTGTGATCACGCCATCATCAGGCCCACCAATCAAAATGAGTTTACGTAACTTTGTAATGCCATATTTGTAAGTATTGCTCTGTGATGACAAAACTTCATTGTTAATATATGGCAAGAATCTGCTGTAATTACGATACAGGCCTTGGTGATGTGGATCATTCCAATAGTTGCCAATAGATGTATGTTGTCCAATAGAAGAATAAAATAGTTCATATGCTGTGTGGCAGACCATGCCAGGGAAAAACAGGTGCAGGAATTTGGCTGTGGTAAAAAAGGAGATTCAAGATAATTAATTGTTACTTCACATTGTAAGTGGTACTTTTCAGTATATCTGAGTAATGACAAACTAGCGATGCCCAATGAATTTCAGCAGAAATCTAAAATGTGTTTTCTACGATAGAGCATTAACATATCTTCAGATGACTTAAGAACATGGGAAATTGTATTTAAATTTTTTTCTACAGTGTGCCACTAGTTTTGGACACCCCCTATGCCCAAATTTTAAAACAGAAAATATTAATAATTTTCCAGAGTTGTCTCTCCAATGGGAACACTTCAGTCTTTACCAATTCTGTTAATGTATCAAGTTTCTTGGACATCCCTACGCCTTACTTCTTAAACAGATTAAAATCTACAATTTTCCTAAGGTTGTTTATCCAAAATGAACACTTTTTGTATTTACCTGTTTCAAAGCACCATTTGGGAGAAGCAGTCATTGTATATGTGTACTGGATAATCATGAGCCTAATTTTTAAAACTGAAAAGTCCCTAATTTCTCCAGTGTTGTCTCGCCAAGAGAACATTTTCCTTTTTACCATTCTTTCCTATGACACACTGTTCTGGGAGAAATATACCATTGTTTAAGTCTTCTGGACTCATTAGTGCCTAATATTCAAAATGGAAAAAAAAAATTGTAATTTTCCCAGAGCACTCCAAAATGTACATTTTTTGTCATTTGTCAATCTTGTTCTTCCAGACTGTAACATCATACAGACTTCAAAGCAGATACCAACGTTAGAGCAAACATACGGTCTCCATGTTCATGGCATTATACCCAGAAAACCATACATGACATCTTCACCATCAAGAGAACTTCCAATTTCATTTTCTATCTTTACTGTTTTTCTTAAATAAGAGGAAGAGGGTGAGACGGACAGACCGACTGTTAGTTACTGTGTGTATAAGTGTGTGTGTGTGTGTGTGTGTGTGTGTGTGTGATAGCAAATAATTTATACGTACTGCCATACTGTCCAGCTTGTGGAGAACTCAGTGATATGAAAGTGTCCACAACGTGATTAGGAAACTGTTCAAGAATTCCTCGAGCAATCAGACCTCCCTGTGAATACCCTGAAAACACAAATGAAGTATTCAGAAAAATTTAAAAACAATATGTTTCTTCATAATGACTGGCTATGGACTAGGATTCTATTCCTGACAGGGGCAGAGCATTTTTCCTCTAGTCTCTGCATCCAGACCAGCTCTGGGGCCCACCCAGCCTCCTATCTAATGGGTACCAGAGACCAAATTCCAAGGGGTAAAGCGCAGCTGAGGCACGATGCTGACCACTCACCCCTATCTAGTGCTGTGGTTAAGAATGAGTAGGAGCTCTATTCCCTCTCCCCCCAAGTGCCTACATGTGGAACCGTTTTTTTATGTTTCTTTATAACAGTAACAAGTAAACGCACCCTTGTGAAAACAGTAAAGGTGCATTCTTAGAGTATAAACATCATAACATCATCATAGGACTATTATGCTCTACACTAGTGATAACAAAACTGTGTTCTATACATGTATATTATGTAATCAGAATTTTTACTACACAAAAGGCAGTAAGTATATCAAAGAAATACTTTATATATAATGATCTGAAATCTGGTAATCAATTCTGATTCTAGATAAATGTGAAAGTTACTTCAGTAAGAACTAAAACATATAATTTTAACATAATTTTTAGATAATTGTGGTTGCTCTAAATGTACTACAACATCATCACACTCTTATAGCACCTTGCCTTAAGAGGAATAAAACAGACTGAAAGAGTTTGAGAACAGGATATGGAAAATATTTGGACATAACAGTGAGGAGGTAACAAGAGAATGAAGAAAACTGCATAATGAGGAACTTCATAACTTATAATCTTCACCAAATATTAATAAAAAAGTAAAAAGTAAAACTGTCCTACTACGCGCCATGTAGGCGCTTGGAGGGAAAAGTGGGTATAACGCCTACTCATTCTTGACCTCAGCACTAGATGTGGGTGAGTGGTCAGCATCACGCCCCGACCGGCTTTACCCCCGGGAAAGGACCCCGGTACCCATTGGATAGGATGCTGGGTGGGCCCCAGAGCCAGTCTGGACGCAGAGTCTAGAGGAAAAAATCCTAACCCTGTCAGGGATCGAACCCCGGTCATCCAGTCTGTAGCCAGTCACTATACTGACTGACCTACACAGGCTCATACAAAAAATTAATAGGGTGACAAAATAAAGGATTAGATGAGTAAGGTATATACTATGCATGGAGATGAGAAATGCATAGACAATTTTAATCAGGAAATCTGAAGGGATGACTTAGGAAATCTATATGTAAATGTGAGGACAGTATTAAAATGAAGAAATAGGATATGATGGCATAAATCACATTCATCTGGATTGGGTCAGAGACCAGTGCTGGGCTCTTGTGAACATAGTGATGAATGTTTGGGTTATACAAAAAGTGGGAAATTTCTTTACTATTGTTTCTTAAGAAGAGCCCTGTTCCATGTTAGTCAATTAGTTATGTACCTTGTTTGCATTTCAGAATCATATTTAGATCAAACTCAACATCTCCATTCCATAACTACTGTGTAATGGGACCCCACACTATGTGTATTGTGCGGAACCATCTTGAAACTAAAACTGAGGCTACTAACTTCCCACTTTGAACAGCAGTCTCAGAATGTGAACACCACAAAGGAATCCAAGTTGAATTTCTCATAATGCTCATCTACCGTGGTAAATATATTTACTGTATCGTTTTGTTAAGTTCATGCTCGACAACTCATGAAATAAACTTGTCTCAAGCAAGTGGGAGACAGTATTTTTCAAGCCCTGTCCTTAGAAACTAAAAATAAATCCGGAAATTAATGGCAATTTGGGACACATTAGAAAACCACTTACAGCTGTTTATGCTATGCATAACAGTGAATGAAACCTGAATTCATATATTTGATCACCACACAGCAAAGTTGTTTTTTTTTTTTTAATTCAGAGAATTCGTTTTCAACCCATCCCTGAATGCAGTAATTGTCGCTAAATTATGCTGGGTTTTAGCACATACACACCAGTTCAGAGATGAAATTTGTTTACATAATACATATTTGTAAATTCATTGTAGATTCAATAATCAAATAAATTACCAATTAAATTTATGCCCTCCGGATGGTCTGCTGATATCTTCATTAAATCTTCGCCCATTTCTTGAATTTGGTGCCACATTGGAGTAAGACTTGAAAATCCTGCAAATTTATCTGTCACATATACCTTCGTTCCTGGATGCGCCTGTCGACACAAAATACTTTATCAAAGACAAATTTTTGTTGAACAGCATATGCAAATGAACTGTAAATAACATTATTTTAAAATTGTTTACCTTTGGCCTTTACTGTTCTTTCATTCAATTTGAACGCAAATCTCACCTGCTTTATACGTTCTGCCATTGGAAGCATAGTTATGTTTCCTGACAAAACGCCGTGTATAATTACGACTGGTTTGTAAGCAGTAATACATGTTCCTAAAAATAAATATGTGAATATAACGGCCCAGTTTTCACAAACGGACATAATATCCTACACGTTCCCGTTTTGCCACTTTGCTCACTACACAAATTCATACAACTTCCAAACCTTGACACAAGCACTGATCAGCTGACTATACACGAAACAGATGACACACGCCAGTGTGTACGTAAATATAATTTCCCTAACGCAAATCAAAAAGTATATATATGTGATTTGAGATTTTCATGGCGACACTCATTTTAAATGGCCATCTTCTTTTTTATAACGCCGTGTAGTCTTGTAAGTGGACACTAACAAATCAGAGGAACTTGCTGCCTCCATCATGCCTCTATTGAATCATGAGCATTCTAAAAATGTGTGTCCTGGATGTTGAGGAATTAACCTCCAACTTTTAATATTCCATCGAAAGTTATTTTTTACACATAATCTATGTATTCACCGTTATATTATTATATTACTTGCAATATACTAAAACAGTGTGTTTAACGAGTTTCGAAAATTAAAGGGCACTTGAGCCAATCCGTTTGGCACAAAGCCTATAAGCTAAAAATGCTGCAGTAAATTTCTGGCATTTTTACAAGTTGGTGCTTCTTGTGCCTGCAAAATACTGTTCTATCTAACGTTGTGTTCTGAAAGAAGATAACTTTATTGGCAAAAGAAAATGTAACTTGACATTTAGTAAGTAGGCCTTTGTGTTAGCATCAAGCCAAATGACCCGTTATTTAAAGATTAATTATTTATATTTATATACACATACATATGTATCAAAGCAAAAAATTGAAACAAGGCAGCCACTGTGCAGTGTCATACATACAAGTTAAATTTATGATAGAAATTATCATAGTGTGTTTACATTGTGCTTTATCAATTACAGGTTCTTCCTGCAGCCCTAAAATTGACATTTGGATTTAGCAAAATATTTACATGTTTCGTAAAAGCAAGTCTTTGCATAATGGTTATGTCTGTAGTATAAAGCTTGAACTTATAATGTATGGTGTTAGTCAATTGAACTTAGCCACAAAAAAATGTGTGCCTATTTAGCATAAGAGTCTACTTAGTTACCAAAGATATAGTGGCAATGCAATTTTGCATTGTAAGAATTTACAACGCCATACATCGAAATGTCTCCGCGATACCCAGTGCCATCTTTGTACATGTCATCTCTTGGCGTTATGGTCAATAGTATTGTCACTGCAATCACACTGATTCATGCTGAAGGTAATTTAGACGACTGGGACACCTATGAAGTGTATGAGGAGGAACTGCAGTCAGTTGCCAACTATGTCACATCTGTACCATCTAACATATCCCAAGAAATTATGCAATCAGTTCTTAACAGTGAAGAACTAGATGCTGCTATCAGATTTTGTGCCTTAAAACTTTTGTTCCATGGCCATGTCAAATCTCTAATTGTAGGAGCTTTTCCTCAAGAATACTACATGAGAATATTGGACATAGTCAGTGATCATGGAGCGGAACTGCAGATTTTGGATTTGAAAGGAGTCTGGGTGAAAGGAGATGAGGCTCAAATATTACAGTATACACTGGAGAAGTTACCAAACCTGAGAGAACTGTACATACCTCACATTGCAAGTGATGGTATTCTGGCAACACTTGGGCGAGATCATGATTCGCTTTTAGTTCTGGATATCTCAGGAGCATGTAATATTTCATGGGAAGGTATTGAAATGCTGTGCTGTGGTCCTTCTTCTTCAGTTCATCCTTCTCGTTTACAAATAGTAAATATTGGGAGCCCAGGAGAGGGAGATATAACCCCATCAAATGTAGCATCACTTTTGAAAAACCTTCCTGACTTGAAATCTTTAGGTGGTTATTCATTCGTTGGCAAAGCTTTGTTAAATTTTGTATCTGAAGATGGAAACCTAGTACGAGAAACTAAATTACAGTATCTACATGATACAGGAACGAATGCGTATACACTGGATGCTATAGTAAAATTGTGTCCGAAGTTGGAATCTATATATTTGGATCGACCAGCAGATGGTGTTGTGGGAAGACTTCATTTGATTTCTAAACTGAAACATGTTAAATTGAATAGATTTGATTGTGCACAACTAGATTTCCTGTTTGTGAATTGTGGGAGAACACTTGACACATTAGAACTTCTAGTAGGAAAAGGTGTAGTCGATATGAGTTCAATAGCAAGGCACTGCCCACAACTTAAAAAACTCATCTGCTACAAAATGGAGTTTTTAACCCATTATGATCAAGTGATGTTTCCCAGTTTAACAAAATTAGAAGTTCTTCACTCAGCAATAACCACATCATGTGTTAGATATCTGTTGTCAAGTTCACCACAAATCGAAGACTTGAGCATTGGGGAGGATATTGACTTGACTGATGGTGATTTTGCAGACATCCTTGGAAAGACAACACTCCCACAACTGAGAGAGTTGTGGTTTCGAAGTGCTAGGGATCTATCTAGAATTACAGTTGAAGTACTCATGGTCATGTGCCCGAATCTGAAAAGTATTGGAATTCTGAGTGGGTGGGGTTTGAGTCCTGATGACATTCAGGAGCTACTTTACGAAATACAAATATCTAATTTGGATCTGACTTTGTGGGAATTCTCTGTGTACTAGCGCAAGAAAGTTTAATGTCTGTGCATATTCTTCTGTATAAACACAGAAGTTGGTCAAAGTTATTTTTATCAATCAGGGCAGCTAAAAATAATGTGTTTATGATAAGATTAATTTACTAAATCTATTGTATATGATGTTCTACAAGATTGTTGTATTGCAGGCAGAATAGTTTCTTTACAAACAAAATTAATGCATATTAGGAACAAATTGATATTCAAACAGGATGGGGCACCACCCAGTTTTCACTTGGCCATGAGAGCATTTCATAATCAGCTACCAAAAGTTGGATAGGGCATGGGGGACCAACACCTTGCCCACCTAGATCTCCAGACTTGTCACCTCTTACCTTCTTTTTCTGGGGTCTTGTCAATGGCTGTGTCTACAGACCACAAATGCCACAGTTCTTGCCGTAGCTATAAGGCCACATCTCAGATGTCACTGCTCAAGCCGATACAGCAATGCTACAATGTACGTGGGAAGAATTTTAATTACACATTTTGAACACATGTAACCAGAAGTTGAAATATTTCTCTATGTGCTAAGGTACTTAACTGCTGTAACTGCATTGAATTAAATATAGCCAATTGTAACTGTCTTATTCATTTTCAAACATGGTGCATAATACAACAAAAATGACATCACAATATTAATAAATGAATTATCACATGACTATCTATTAAAATTGTAATGCATCCACTGCACTGCAGTAAACCCTTTGAATCTTCATTCTAGATCACACTACCAAGTCTGCATCCACGTCTTAATCATATTTGTCCATCTGAACTTCATAACAGAGCTTCATTACAACAACCTGGCATCAAAAGATTCTTAGATGACGGTCTCACTGACTTCTACAAAAACAAAGAGATGAGACAATTGAGGTATCAAGTGATCCTACCATCAGAAAACCAATGAAAAATGCAGGAAACAGAAACAATAGATACTATAAATATTCATTCACCAATGTCAGAGCCATGGTGCATTCTGCCTTTCCTATTGGTTTATGAAATCACAAAATATACCTTTCAAAATAATAATAGTAGCAAAATTATTTATTATATTCTGAAATTAATATCATACATACAAACTGGACTTCACCAAAAAACAATGAAAATTGACTCTTACATTAATGTTACACACAAGGTACATTATTTACAATGGATAAATGATCACAGCAGAATTGCATTGATAAATTCTGACAGTTTCACCCATATAGCACTGCTGGATCATTCAATTATCCCTAAACCCCACCGAAGAACTGAATGAACTGGATCTTTTGTTGAAACCCTGTGCCTTTTCTTTTTCAGAATAATGACAGTAAAATTCCAAAATAATTCTGTAATAATGCTACTGTAGAACTGAATAATCATTATGAACAATAACCACCAGTTATACATAATTACTAGCTGGGATTTACAGATAATCTTATATCAGTAATACTGCTGTCCCATCCCCTCATCACCCAATCTGCATGAGCAAAGCCTATCCAAAACACTAGCAGCCAATATAAACATAATAATCCAGGGTCAGAAATAATCCAGACCATTTCAATTCTAAAACAGAAATGTTTAACCTTTCAATATATGGTCCTGAGCAGCGCCAAATAATCACTTCTTCCTTATCAGAATGTTAGGCTTGATGTTGGTGAATTGATCCTGGTTTAACCATCACTGATTATCGAAAGTACAGGTCATATTCACTAGTGATGGAACTTCTTCCCTGAATTCTTAGCATGGTCTAAAAGTAAATCACAGGGTTTAAATGGTGCTCCATAGTCCTTCTCAAATTCCAGCATCTTGTTTGCCAAAGTGCCCGCACCGTACCCATCAACCCATCGGAAGGGGCCGCCTGTGAAAGGAGGAAAGCCCAAACCAAACACTGCTCCAACGTCTCCTTCCAGCTGGAAACACAAAATATGATCACAATAAATGTAACAGGGAATATTTTAAATGCACACAATAAGGATTATAACACTTTCTGGATTAATGTTTCAATCACTTATGCCACCACAGTGTGAGGCAAAAGTGTTAAATACAAAACCAGCAAAGAAAATTACCAAATTAGAGGCTGGAAAATACAAGACTGCCGGGGACTTAGTTACAGGAATGGACACACAATACACTGAAGACAGACACAGCACTAGGGCTTCTGACTGCACATCCCTGTTTCAACCATTCATTCAAAGATCTCATATTTAAAATGTTATAAAAATTCAGCCATTTTAATTTATACATGAAGTTCCACATTAAGTCTGATTTTTTGTCTTTCCATCATGACTGAGAAATGAAGAAATCTGACTTTTCAAATGTCACTGTTCTGTCACAAATATTTTGATTTGCAATACCTGAGAAGATAATAATTGCTCAGCTAGTAACTCTCTCTCTTTTGCCTTCTATGGAACCTGAAGGTTCACTGCTACTGTTCACAAGAGACTGCCACTGGTCCCTATCCTAAGCCATACAAATTGAGTCCAGACCCTCCCACCCTATTCACTTAAGGTACATTTTAATACTATCCTACCATCTATGCCTAGGACTTCCAAGTGGTCTCTTCCCATCCAGTTCTTTGACCAAACTTTTGTATGAATTTCTAATCTCTTCCGTGCATACTATGTGCTACTCACTGGATTATCCAGAATACCCTCCTGGAGGCACAGTATTGCTTCATTGACAAAACGTGACACCATACGAAGTTGCAGATCTTCTACAGATCTTGAACCTTTCGGTTCCACCTTATATTTGGATAAAATATCCAATGTTCCAGGGTTTACATCACGGTTCTTACTGGCACCCTCATATACAAAGCAACCTTTGGATGATTTGCGACCTGTAAAACCATAAACGAATTTATGGTAAGTATGCTCTTCTACAAGTAGCAAAATCCCTTTCAAACATGCTTTTAAAGAATCTAATCATTCACACAATTTTATTTACATTTCAGCAGTAAAGATATGTAGTTACTAAATTTAGTTTCTCAAACATAAAATTATCCTTAAATTAATTCAGACCTTACTCTTACCCGGTGTCCTACATGAGCAATTAAATGCGAGCAGTGCGAGTTGCGTGGGTGAAGCGGAAATATCAAACTGGCTGTTTGTATGGCACTGTCCTAGGTTACAGCGAAGCGGTCAGCGGCCAAAGTCTGAGATCAAATATTTTGATATTTTCGCGCGAGTCGCTGTGCTGGCCAGTAAGGCGCATGCACAACAAAGCTCTGACCGTGCAGTACAGGGAAGGTGCATGCGCAGGAAGGACATGTGCTTCTATTGCGGTCTCTCATGTAGGACACAAAAAGTGATACCCCGCTTCATATGACACCCCATGCTACTTGTGCAGCTCGCATAGCTCACTTGTTATTGCTTACATAGGACATTGCCTTAGTCTCTTAACCTTCTGTTATTATCTTCCACTTTGGGAAATCATAGCATTTAACTGAATATTATTATATAAGGGCTTGGGTCCAGATACATTTTTGCAAGTACTAAGATACATCTACCCACAGACTTCTTAGTCACTCAGCAAGATCCTGAACAAGTAGACTGGTATGTGACCAAGAGTTAGGAGAGAAATTCTATAAGATATTTTCTAGACTTCTGTGTTTCACTTGCAATGTTGTCAGCTAGGCACTCCTAAGCCACTTATTTTCAATATGGAAGCTAGATGAACACAAAGAGCAGCTGAGGATAATATCTGAGATAACAAGCATATTTCCAACTTCAAACTGTACATAACTACTTGGCTGAACATAAGCAATGAATTGGCACCTTCAATGCAAAGATGAGTAAGCTACACATGAAGATATAGGTGAAAATCATACTCTCAGAGAACATGTTTGCATATTTTACACCATATAGATATCAACATGCTGAAGGCTTAAAACTTTCACAGACATTGACATATATTATACACTCTAATTTAAGATGACCCTTTGTTTTGTATAAATAGAATACAAAGTTTACTTTAAGTTTCCTCATCCTCAGAAGTGAGATTTGAAAGTGTACAACACATAACTGCAATCCACTGCATATTTCAACAAGTATATCATAAGCAGAAGTCTTAACAATGGATGATACTTGCGTTCTATGATAATTTTAGTAATTTTAAAAGCAATTTAAATTGATATCTAAACCAATGTAGAAACACTCAAATTCCAATATAATAACAAAGTCTATTACTCGGCATAATATGTGGCCATCCACATATTCCTATTTCCACTCTAATAATTTATGCTTACCAAGAAATCCTGCTTGAACCATGTCTTTCAGGATATTTATATCACCCCCCGCAAATCTGGGGCCAAATACTTTGCTTAAATCTTGAGCAATATGAGCTGCTACATCAATGCCAACTTCATCTGCCAGTGTGGCTGCACCAACTGGAAAGCCAAATGACTTTGTCAGCTTGTCCAGTTCCTTGGGATCTACATCTTCCTATAAAAATGAGGACACAAGCAGTTCTGGGCAGAAATCATAAAGCCTACTTTCATACTATACAGACTTCCTCCCCTACAAAAACAGTCACAGTTTGGTAACATAATATATGTTTATAACTAAAAAATAAAATGTACATTAATTCATGAAATAGCATGTTGGGATTGGGATCAGAGGAACAAATCCCACAAGAGTCAGGATTCTCTTTATTGCTTCACAACCTAAATAGTTTGTTACAAAACAAATTAAACATACCTGTAGAAGGCGAATTCCTTCAGCGAGCATGGCAGAAAGAATACGCGTAGTATAGAAACCAGGACCGTCCTTGACTGTTATCACTACCTTGCCCTGCTTCAATCCAACATCAACCGCAGCAGCAGCTGTATCCTGTGATGTCTTGTCAGTTGTGATCACTTCAAGTAGTTGCATTTTGTCCACAGGAGAGAAATAATGCATCCCAACCAGCTACAATGCAGGAATTTTTAGCTCATCAATTTGTGCATTATTTTATACAATTAACAATACCTAATTAATTACAACACAATTGCTAATAATGCTAAAAATTGTTCAGCTGGTAAATAAATTCGCCACTTTCATGGAACCCAAAGGTACATGAGTTCACCACTGGACCCTACGTTGAGTTAAACGAAACCAATCCACACTCCAGCACTCCAGTTCTCCATTTTGGTATCACTCTGCCATCTACATCTAGATCTCCCAACTTCAGGTTTCAAGACTTGTCTGTATTCATTTCCCATGTGCATGGTTCATGTTCTGTACCTCATCCTCCTTGATTTGATCACCCTAGTAAAATTTGGTTAAGAGCAGAACACTACAGATTCACATTTCTTATCAGAACTCAGGCCATTTTTTCCTTCTCCACTTGTGAAAACTTTTATTTGTAATTAGATTTGCTTTCCATGCTGAAGTATAATATATATACAAAATATTGTCTCAAGATAGAGAGCTGGTACATGGCCCAACATTCCCAATTCCAATTTCAGGAAAAAATTTAATAATGTATGGGCTTACAAAAGTAAGGAATGCAGGATGTGAAATTATCCAATATAAAACAAATGACATTTTTCAGTAACATGACCCACCTTCTCGGGATTTTTGCTGGCCTTTGCAATCTCAGCAATAGGAAGTGCACTTGTGTTAGTTGCAATGACGCAGTGAGTGGGTGTGCACTGCTCTATTTCCTTGACCACACGATGCTTCATTTTTAGATCTTCAAAAACAGCTTCGATCACTAGGTCCACATTCTTGAAGTTTTTGTAAGAGAGTGTTGTGTCCAAGTTGGCAAGGTAGCGATCCCGCTCAACTCTGCAAGACAAAAGCATAGTTGTACAGAATGTGCTGGAGTTGTCAGTGATTTCACATTAATGGTTTCTTTAAGAGATGGCCTTTGATTTATTAAAACCTTATATGGAGAAATTTCAAAAAAACAGACAAGTGACATGGAAATATGTTGTTTGGAATGTGGAGAGTAGGGTAAGTTTGGTATCATCCTCCTTCTGGCTGGCAAGTGGTGTGAATTTCTTACAAATCACACAAAGCGCAACTACTGATCTCTTTCTAAGGAACTCTTCTCTTCTTTACAGATGGTTAATGTTGTTCTGATAGCACAGATTCCAAAAATGTAAAGTTTTAAAAGTACAATATGTCGAATGTGACTGTATGTCTTCCAATGATTCTTCAGAAATTAATACTGATTATAATCAGAATTTATAACTAATCAATTATGTCATATTTCTCTACTGTGAGGGACAAGACTTGTGGTCCCTGTTTCTAAACATTTAAAATATGTTATTATGGGGTAAAATGTAAGTTACCAAGTGCACTGAAAAAGGTTCCTATTATACTCCGGAAGTTTGGATAGTAAGTCAGTGTGAAATAAGAACAATTCCACAAAATGTCTGGACAAAAATATGTAGGACAAATTGCTCATTGATCAAGAAAGTCTGGATGAAATTTCATGGAAGCATACATTACCTGCTTCAATTTGCATAATAGACAAGAATGCAGTTTTCACAGACAGCAAAATACACACTCCAGAAAGCTTCCAATGTACACCTCACCTTGTTTTCATACTTTACCATTTAACTAGACTCACACAGAAATCTTTTTCCTCTTGACACCTTTCTCAAGGCCATCCTGGATTTGACCCAGTCCACGGTCAAGTCCTCCTTGGTTAGCATCCTTCAGGATAACACTATAGCCCTTGTCTACAGAAACCTGAGCAATGCCTGCACCCATCAAACCAGCTCCCACCACAGCAATAGTCCTGAACAGAATGATTTATATCAATCACCAACCAAACTTCAATTGGAGATTGAACTTTTTAATATGTCATAATAACTGCGTATCAGCAAGAATACTAAATGCATCAATTCATATCATAAAAATGTTTCTGGGGCATACATGCTAAAAAAATCTGTTTTTGTTAATTTGTTGTCAAACCATTTACAACAGATTACACAAAGCAGATGAAAGCAGTAGCAAGGAGCATTCTGTCATAACCATATGTTATGGGCGGCAACAACAAGCAACAATAATGAAAACATTGAGGGTCTCTCAAGTAATGATTCAAATATTATCAGTAACATTGAGGACAACCAAAATAATGGCTATAAGAGCACTCAACATTTTTCAGTTGACATACCAATCAGTCTGAAAGAAAAACTCCATGTACTTCTCCTCTGTGGCGCCTTAACCATCTTAATACCATGCACCATGCAGTACTTGCATGGAGATTATCAGAGCTGAAGGGCATGTTATATTTTAAAAATGTGTTTTGTTTTTAAGACTGAGGACCAACTGCATTTCCAAGAATACTGATCCTCCATGTAATCTTTAAACCTACTTACAATGCTGGACAGCATTCATAATAACATCTATGCCTACACTTGATACTTTTGATGTCTTGTTCACAATGCTGTGACAGTAAAATGTTCTATTGTAAATGACATTTCAACTGCAAGATGATACTAGTCTCATTCTTCTTCTTTATTACGCCGTCTCCTTTACAGGAGGTTGGCGACATATTATGGACAGGATCCTTCCATCCTTTTCTCGGACTGGGACCCGTTCATGTTTTTTTAGGCATTGCCGATGCCTTCTTCTGTGTGTATGGAGTATGAAGTAATTGTTGGGATGCCACAGAAAAACCAGGGAAGCCTAGATCACGGCCTTGCCCAACATAAGTTATAAATTCAGGCACTGCCAGGAATCGAACCGGGACCCCAAGATTACAAGGCCAGCGTTCTAACCGCTAGACCACTGTGGTGGTACTAGTCTCATTAGATTTATGAATATGTTACCACGGCATGGCACACACTCAAACTGTGAGTGAAAGAGGCAACTTTCAGAAATGACAAGACACATGGGAATAAACTGAGAAGACATTGTAGACAGATATCAGGAGGTGGCATTTAACATGGGGGTTCAGCAAGCTCACAAAGCACTGTAAAACAAGCCTGTTACAAAATGTTCCTAATATGTAGATTCACTAACCTATTCTTCTAATTGTTCAGTAATCTTTATATGTACAAAATGTCAAACAAATAAAAAAATTATGAAACCTACTACCATTTTTTTTAATTTACATAAAAGTGTGTTATGGAACTGAATTACAAATAATTCTAACACTTATGGAACACCAGTTTAGTTGTTCTAAGCTATGTTCTTTTATTACTTTCTAATGCATACATATGTACACATTAGCAAACTCACTTGATGTTCTGCTTTGGCACTCCAAAACGATTCTTTTTACATTCAGTTTGCCCACGGAATAAACCAACCAACCCTCTGCTTTGAGGGGTCATGGCCAGCTCGCCAAATGCTACGCTCTCTGCTTCGTACCCAGCATGTGGGCCCTTCTCCAGACCTGTTCTTATCACATCTAAAATCTGAAACAACACATACACACTGTAGATACCACACCTTTAAAATACAAGGGTCATTAAAAAATTAATGGCAACAGTGATAGAAAATTTAAAAATTACTGCTCAAATTTGACACTTCATATGCCTTTGATAACTTGTCACAGATGTGCTGCCATACCACTAGAAGACACTTCATACCATAACCATGTCCAATCTTGTTCTGTCCATTATCATTTGCCCTACCACATTATAATTTCTTCCCTTGCCTTCAATCAGATCTTTTTCTTCTATGGCCTCCTCAATTCTCCTCTTCCATTCGGTCCTCTGTTAGGTCCATCTGTCCGAGGCTTTGAAACATCTTCCTTTTTACGGTGCAAGGTTGTTAGCCTTGCGACCAACCAACCTGGAGGACCAGGGTACCTGTCTTAGTCTGACCTCTCCCCCTTGACCAACCTGGCTAGGGAGGCCCTACCAGTAGCTATGCTACCTCCAGCATAGCTCTTGGGGTCACTGAGGTGCTCAAGCCCCACCATCACGACAAGGTGCAGGTACCATTAAGTGGGGCCTTCAATCAGATGCCTCATAGGAATTCATTCAGTTTCTGTGAAAGGTATTAATCACATAGACTCACATCCAGCAAGTATGGTGGATGTTCTAGTACCTCCAATTCCACAGTTTGAACAGATCATCCTCTGTCTAGGATACACAACTACAAGCATTGTCATGTAGCACAACAGCCACATAGCAAATGCAGTTACTTGCAACAAAGTGTGGGATGCAGCTTCATACAAATGGGCCACCCGAAAAAGATGGGCTTCATCAACCAGTCCAAAATGATCAAAATGCAATCTGACAGTTTCCATGTGTTGCAGCACGTGGACATGTCAGACTGTGTGGGACTCATCATGCACAGATACTCCAGATTTTCAGTTCTTCCACTTAAAGCATATGGCTAGTGGACGACACAATACTAATCTTACATGAAAGTTCGGGACACGTTCATCATCAGACCACACCAGCAGAGCTCTCACAGCTGTGATGTATCTTTCATCTGTTGCTATGACTGGCTGTCTAGCTCTATGTTTGTCCCTTACTTTCTTTCCCACTCTAAATGGCACACACCCACCTCTCCACGGTAAGGTACAGCAAAACTTCTCGTCCACAGGCTTCTTACAATTCTTCATGACAATAATGTGGATTTTTCCCCTGTGCAACCTAGATTTTGAATAAAAATTACTTATACCAACAGAACATGCTTTTTGAGCAGTTTTGCGTGACACGTAATGCTTCACACCACTATGTGACACTTAGAACTGATTATACACTTGCAAAAACAGATGCTCACATGCAGTACATTACGGCTCAGACTCTTGCACAAAACTGTTTCCTGCTAACACCAGTAAGGTGTGACACCACTGCAGCATTGCCAATAATTTTTTACTAACCCTTTCTATTGCATCTTAAAACATGCTTAAATTGTTTTGGAACTGTGAAATTGCCCCATCCTTCTTTTAACATAAAAACACTGTGCAAATGGCTATGGAAATCATGCAAGTAAATATGGCATATTTCAATTTCTCATGATAAACTTAACAGTGATATTGTCTACCATTGCCCTCAACTAACAGTACTTACGCGAAGAGGTGCAGGATAAAAACCACCACTCAACTTCAGGACTTGTTTCTTGGCTTGACCAAACACAAGATTTCTGACCCAGTTAAAGGTAAGCCCAAAATCCAATAAAGTCTGGGTAAGAGGTTTCTTTTTCCTGTTGACTTTGAGTTTTCCACTCGCAATATCTTTTGCAATAGCTACAGACACCTCCTCCAAGTATTGCAATGTCCTGTATAACAGACATACAACAATGTTACGTTTGTGATCTTTCATAAACTCTGTATCAAGATGATTTACAATCTACGTTCCGTAGTTCTTATATCAGGTTTCTGTTTTACTCAGATTTCCAGCATGAACTAAAACATCTAAACCTGAACGCTGCATCAGAAGTTTGTGAAATCCTGGACTAATAGTCAGGTCATCCTGAAGTGCAATACTAATAGATTCTCCCAACAATCACACCACTTAAAACACACATATGAAGTAACAGTAATCATGAAACACACATAAATGTCAAGAACCTATAGGTGACGTTACAGATTATTATTTCCAACGGTGCCACCTTTATGAGGTCAATTTTTCTGTTGCTCTCATCCAGGGCAGTAATATTGCCACAGCCCTTCAAAAGATAACAGTGAAAAAAAGTTCTACACTGTATTTGCGTTAATAACAATGCATTCCTTCTTTCAGATTATCACAGCCCCATTAATTGGATGCACAGCTTTCCTTTGTTGTCCCATCTTGTCACATACTTAACCTAGTAAAATCCAAAGAATTATTAACAATTTTAATTTTTCTGTGTGATTGTGGTGATCCAAAGTATTGTTAGAGAATGGCCAATGATAGTTAAGTAAAGACTACAAGTGGAAAAGTGCTTAGAAGCTGTTTTCAATATGTTTCATTACTTTAAACAAATAAGAGAAATATAAGTTGCACTGCAAATACAACTGCTTCACTTTGTGTGGACGGAATTACTGGCAATTCTCACCTCCTCTCAGGAGTGTCTAGACCAGGTCCCAGGGGTGAAACTAACACATCAACAAGGCCCAACCTTTTGGCTCGGTCAGCTGGTACAGTGCGACCAGTTAGAGCCATATCTATTGCGCTAGGAACAGCAATTAGACGTGGTAATCTCTGAGTTCCCCCTGCACCCGGCAGCAGTCCAAGCATTACTTCAGGGAGACCCAATCCTGTTTTTCGATCTTTTACTGCTATTCTGTAATGACATGCTAATGCAACCTGGAAGAAAACCCTAATCATCAGAAAAATGACAACTTCCTTAAATATAGCATTTTGAAAGTTACATATCAGACTGCATGTTAAAATTACAGAAAAGCCAGTTTGTTACTGAACCACAGCTGGAAATTTCTATTCTTTAATGTTGAGCTATGGCTCCTCACCTGCTTGCACCTTTCATTGTCCATAATATGCAATTGGTTTATCACCAACAGCCTCACAAGAGAAAATATGAATTAATCAGTTCTGTTCAGATAAGCTTGACTGCAGTTGTGAAATAAAATACAGTATTTGAAAATGAACTTCAGACAGTACAAGAACTAGATGCTACTGGTTCTTGATTAGAAGCCAAAACAAAACTTACAAATACAGCCCTATTAAACTACAGGCATACAATACATAATGCCTCAAAGCAAGAATCTTATGTTGAAAATGGTTTTGTGCTTTTTTATGAAGCATTATCTCTTTGTGATCACACACTAATCCTTCTTGATCACATTACTTTAATTTAGAGTAGGTCATGAGACCCTATGCCATAAAATGCATTACAACTTTCATGACTTCTGCTTTTTTATCATACTGTTGCAGTTATGAAGAGGGAACTCCAGTATGAGTATATAAACTGTAATAACCTATTTTTCAAAACAATGAAAACAAGAACACACGACACTCCCTCACAATGTATCCATGAGAAAGAAAGTTGTTTTGAAATGCAATACCTCAAGGCCACCACCTAAACAAGAGCCCTGAATGGCTGCAACAATAGGCTTTTTGCTCTTCTCAATTAATCCTAAAATATTCTGTCCTGTGCGAGATACAGCTGTAAATTCTTGAACAGTTTTTAATGACTCGAACATTCCAATGTCAGCACCAGCAATAAAGCAGCCTGGCTTCCCGGAGACAAGGACAGCAGCATGGATATTAGGGTCAGACTCAACCTTCTTCAACATCTGCTCCATTTCATACATAACATCTTCACCCAATGTGTTCACCTACAACACATAAAAACATAAATAAAGTATATTATAACTATTGGCTACATATAGTACTCAAATTCAAATCTGCAATCTGTTAAAGGATATCAACACATGTGGTGAATACAATTATTAGACAAAATTACTCAGGTACATCACTATGATTCATAATACACATCTTTAGTATGGTAGATATGTTGACAATAGTCTTCACCTCACCTTTGAACCAGGTGTATCCAAAGTTATAACAAACACATTTTCATTAATTTTGCTCCTCAAGTGCTGTACTGAGGATACAGATTGTGATGCAGACAAATGACTGGGTTTTGTAGCCAAAGCAGCTGCTGGTGTAGCATATAATCTTGAAATCTTCAAACCTGGAGAAAAAGATTATTCATGTACAACTGCAGTAAGAGGACAGTACATAAGTTCCTCACATCACAGAAGTGTCACTACACTATGTCAATAAATAAGACTATGATTAAAGAAAAGATCAAATTATAGCACCTACAGTCATTTCTCTTATTCTGCTTTGTCAGTAAGGGTGTGTAGGGCCACACCCTATACTATGCCAGCATTTACTGTGTTTAAGAACCAGTATCACTAGAATGTCTAAATTGCTTCAATTATCAGAATTGGTTACATGCATATTCAAATCTTTCTTTGGAATCTTGAGTTGAAAGATAATATTAAAAAAATTACTGGACAGTTTCTACATTACCCATTCTACCAGTCACATAACAAAATTAATATGAAACTCAGTACATAAAACTATGTAAAGTAAAACTATAAACGAAACAAATTATATGCTTTAAATTTTTCGTACTTTAAAATATAACGTCAATTGTTAATACATCTGTAATAAAAATACGAAAACTTAAGAGGAATGACTTGGCAGGTTACTTCATCTTATTTGAAATGTCTGAATCACGTGCACACGTACCAGACCCCAAGTAAGAAGCTGTTGTAACAAATATTAACTTACCTTGATATCGTAACATATTTACATTCATTTTCGAAATGCGGCTTAAAGCTCCCATACACCGACAAGTCGCCATTTTCAAAGAGCAACGACACAATTATCAAAGTCCAGTTCCGGAGTGTGCTAAAACACTTTCGTAATAATTATTTTCATGTGTAGTATGTGTCTGTACGATTTCCTTTATCAGTGTTTTTTGTTTCATTACCACAAATAATTTTCAAGAAATTTTGTACTTTATTCCAATCCAAATTTAGACTACAGACAAGTTTATTACAACCTATGGACAGAACTGTGATTTTTACATATACATAATAAACATTTGGTATCCAATGTGTGGTACCACAGGTTTGGAACCAACATTGAGCAGTCTAAAAGGATAAGCAAGAGACGACGAAAATTTAATATTTTCGAAGACTGTACAAAAGTAATGTGAATATATATTTTTTTAAATTCTTCTGTATTAATAATGATGAAAAGTTACGGCTGTCCATAACCTGTTTATTCAACGCCCATGATATGGAAAGTTTAAGTGGGTTGCATAGATATCTTTGGATTATAGATGTTTACATGTTTGTGATCGAGATGTGCACATTAAATTCGTTTAGAAAAATTGTATAATCGAATTCATGTCTGTAGGGATTTTGAATATCGCTTCCCGCACAAGTATAAACAGTATGGACACCTGCATATGTTCATTACTGTCTTCTGCTTCAAGCTGTAAAAGGTGATGTACTGTGGTCAAAGACAGTACAATTTACAAGTACGAATGTTGTGTATGCAATGCAGAGCGAAAATTAACGTATGTGTTTGTTTCAGGGATTGACAGCCGAAACGTGTTATAATGGCATCTGTTAAAGTTCCTGAGCAAAAAGTTATATTGTGTGGTGAATTTGGTGTCGGAAAAAGTTCCTTATTTCGTCGTTATGCCACTAATTCATTTGTTACTGCTACAGACAGACAGTCAACTTTAGGACTAGATCATTATGATAAAGAATATAAAGTAGGAGGCAAAGAAATACGGGTAAGTCGTTCGGTTTTTCGTGTTTGACTGTAGTAGAATGCAATTATTAATGTGCCACCATTGTTTTCCACTTTTTACAACTGATGGTGGATGCACCAATTTAAGGTGGAATACATTTAAACAGTGTTTTCTCGTAGTTGCAGCTATGGGACACAGGGGGCATGGAAAGAGTCGCCTCTATTACATCCAGTTACTACAAATTTGCTGAGGCAGCTATTTTGGTATTCTCACTTGATAATCCAGCATCTTTCCATGTACTTTCTCAGCACCTACTGGATATTGTGACTTATGCTGAGAATGCAAAGATATTTCTTTGTGGAAATAAGGCAGACCTGGAGGGTCAGACACCTCAAGTTAATGAAAGTGACATGGAGAACTTTTGGTAAGAATTTTATTATTCATTGTAGTTCATTTTGTAAAATAATAATGTTTTTCTTACTCACAATTTATCCTTATCACATGTTCAATTTCAAGAAACATTGACACTGATAAATTAATTACTTACACACTGTAAAAAATTGTTACAATAGTAATCTCCACATGTAATAGTAAGCTTTATTAGTTCAGATTCCACTTTTTGCTTCTGTATCTGTAGTCTTTTTCATCTCAGGTGAGTATATAACTTCCATAAGACTAACAGCAAAAGTGCCTTATTTTAAATGCACAAAGACTCTTTACTGTTATACCACATAAGGAACTTTTTGTAATTTCAGCGAACAATGTCACAATCTTATTAGTGCCACGTACAAGACGTCGTGTAAGACGGGCCAAGGTGTAGAGGAGATGTTTGCAGACATTGCTCATCACCTGGTTCAGTCCAACAGATCACGTCTTGAACTGCAAGCTATGGATACAGAATCTTTCAAGATCATGCCACCAGATGAGGCGACGGAGCCCACCTGCCTCTGCTAACATATCCTCTTAGAATATCCAGTGCAGATACTGAACAGTCCAAGCATAAGGTTGTTTAACATTTTGCCATCCATCTTATATGACTTTACTTTGTAATGTAATTGTTGTTTTTGTTTGTAATCACATGTATGAAGCTGAAGAAAGATCTTTTTTGTTAATTCATGAAAGTAAAGAAAAACACATCAGAAGACAGCAGACAGCATAGGAATGATCTGCCGTAACAGAGGCTGGTTTATACAGGTTGGTCATAGCCATTCGGAAAATTACATTTTTAATTCTCATTTCCAGAAGTTATGGCACTTGCAGTTTTTATACTTTTCATCACATGAATAATTCTCAAATAACATTTATTGGGACATTTCAAATTTCCAATTTTCTAAATCCAAAGTTCAAAAAATCCCATGGTCCCTAATAAAGAAACTAATTAATACTTTTAAAACTGCAGCAGTTTAATTTATTAAAAAATGTATCGGTATATGCACATTTTGTTTACCTTAAAAACAGTGAATTTACAATGTGAGTAGTAGTACATTTAAGCATTTAATTTGGAGGGAAGCTGAAATTTTCTGTCACCAAAAATTATTGCTTTTGCAGCATCTGATGGGGCTACAGAGCAGTTCCTCCTGTTAGTCAAAAAGAATGGACCGTCCATCAGCCTACTGGCCAGATCAGGCACAGCAGCACAGTTTGAATAAATGTGTTATTTAAGAAAAACATATAGTGATACCTAATATTAAAAAATGCAGAGATGAAAGCTTTATTAATATGTAATCCTGAGGTGACTTTTAACCTTTTGACATGGTGCATGTCAAGCTGATTAAAGCCACTATAAATGGTGATAACATCAACGAGATGCATCATGTAGCTTAATCTCATTTTTTTATTTATATTGTAATGTCATAAGGAAGATCTGAAAACAAAACAAAAACACTTTTCACACTTTATTTGAGCAGCTTTTTAATTGCATTTTGAAGCATGTTTGAGAGTTGAGAAAAAATAATGCAGGACTGAAATGTTTGCATTTTGGCACGAGACTGATAATTTTAAAGCTGGAGTATGGTGATGTATATCAATTCCAGAGATGTAAACAAGTTAGAAACTGGAGTACTTGCCAGAATTTGATCTTTGATGTCTGTGAATAGTGCCAGAGTTGTCTGGGGATTCCCCATCCAGTCACTTCTGCACACAAATGCATGTAGGTCTTCATGTAAAGTACCCGTTACTGTTGAGTTTTAACCAAAATTGGATACATTTGTAGTAAAACTTCCTAGTTATCAGATTTCTTGAGAATCCTTTAGTTGTTACATAAAGACATTGATAGAAACTGTAGAACTAATTTGCATATATTGTAATATTACTAGATGTACTTTGTACTAAATAACAACGAAGAGCAGCTTTCAGAATGCCTGCAGATAATTAAAGATAAAAATCGTTTAAAAATAAATATGGTTATTAATATTTGTGCTTCATGTATTGTCACTATATTAAAGGCTCGACCTATCTTTTATCATTATACAGTGCATTTCATTAATAAATACAGTAGTAACTGCCAATGTGTGACAAAGTTATTTCTACATTCAAATATACAATAGTAGACTTTTTTTAACACTTGATAGGTAACTAACACAGCAAATGAAAGCAGTTTGCATATGTACATATGAGTATAAAGTATGTCTTCAAGGAAGTATATTTACATCCACACACACATACATATATATATATATATATACTTCAATGCCGTGACCACTTTATAGATTTCAGATCCACACCTTCCTGCACCATCTCCCACAATGGGCTGAAATAAAGGCACCAACAAGTGTTTTAAAAATTCTGTGTATACCTATGAAAGATAACTGAAAAATGAAATTATTTTACAGAATAAGGAAATTAATATTTTAGATTTGTTCTAAAATCAATTTTACAAAACCTAATAATGGATAAAATCAGTTAAGACAAGGTGGACTGGGATGAATTCCATTATTAAATGTAAAAAATCTTAACCAGTGATAGAAAGTTGCTGTGTAAATGTCCAATATGGCATGAAGGGATAACTTTTGAGTTTTGACTTTGTTGGAAAGTACCAATATATTCAAGCCAATAAAAGTCTTCTCATTATGTAATGTAAACCTTTGTGTCCAAATAGTCCAGTATGTATTTTGCACTTACATTCACTACCATCAATATTATATTCATGCCATCACAAGGTATTTAGACAAAATTAAGTTTGTCAGAAAGCAAGCACCAGAACAGTTTGAAAGTCTAATTGTCCTCTTATCATTAATTCATTCATAAAAATTATTAATGGCATACATATAAATGCAGAATATTTCTTCCAACAATAAACAATGTTAAGGTGATTGCACATTAAGCAACACACAAAAGTCGTTTCACTGTATTTAGTAGACTTGTGCAAAAGCATTCTTATGATGCAGATGGAAGCAGTGGAAGTTGTATTTTAGTCACACTGTATCTCATTTTTATGATACTCTATTTATTCGACCAAATGACAAAAGCTTTATTTTTATTCAAAAATACAGTCACTTTATATTTCTCACTGAAGAAAAATGTGTAAAAATCAAAACTATGGCATAATTTCAAATTATATATTGAAGAGTATCAGTATGTTTAACTGTGAATACAAAATTAACTTAAAATGGACTCCAGTGGTGGGCTAATGTCTTTCACCAAAATTTCACTTTGGGAGTAAAACCGACATTTCTTCTTAATAACCTATAAGCTAGTAGGTAGTTTTTAAATGGAACCATTTTTAAGAATGCAAGAAATGGGATATGGGAACTTTCATGATATCAAACCATGTTATGGGATTCTTATAGAAAAAGCATAATTGTAAATATGGAAATACGTACCTCATCTCTCTTAGCTTCTTTACATTTTTTATACAGTGATCAGCAGTGTAATCTACTTCTGCCATAGTTGTGAACCTCCCGAAGCCAAATCGGATGGATGAATGTGCCATATCATCATCAGTGCCAATAGCGCGCAGTACATATGATGGCTCTAATGAAGCTGAAGTACATGCACTGCCACTTGACAGAGCTACATCCTTCAGTGCCATCAGCAAGGATTCTCCCTCAACATATGCAAATGACAGATTAATGCAGCCAGGATATGAATTGACAGGATCACCATTACGAACTACATAATCCAGACTTCCATATATTTTGTCCATAAGTCGCTTTGATAGCAGTTCCATCCATTTATGATCATACTGAAAAACAAAAGGAAATATAATTGCAGCAGCAATAAACATAAATTGAACATCTGAATGTTAACTTTTGGCAAATATGACTGTTATTCTATTTAGTTAAACCTTTCCAAGTAATAATAAATACCTTGTTACAACTCTACAGTGTAGCTTGCTGCAGAAGCAAACACTAAAACACTGCTCACACAGAGTGAAAGTCTACTGTTTGGCATATATTATTTCTATTTATCTTCTGTTAACCAAAACCACACAAAAAAAAATGCTCCAAATGAAAACAGACCTACATCACAAACTAAATTTTTATATGATAACCCAGTTTTGAGAAAGCTGATAAATTTGAATATAAGTTTCAAGTAAAGCAAAGATTACATTTAGGCTGGGGCTACACGACCGTACAAAGTATGTCCGTTGCAATGCACATCGTGACGTCTGTCATAGAATTATGAAGGGGCATATAGGGTACAACACACGAAGCACGTGTGCTTCGTGTGTTGTACCCTAGTACTGAACCTTCAGGTTCTGTAAAAGGTGAGGAATTTCTTGACTAGCTGAGCAAGTATCAGCTTCTTGTGATGGATTCTGTTGCATGAACTTTGTTACTTATTAGAAAGTAATTAATTAGTTTGTCTGAGATCACACTTTGTAGGATACTGTGCTTTATTGGTAGCATGGCATCACTAGAGGAATATAAGAATGGGGATGCACACAGAATCAGTTAATGCTTCAGTGAAAGGGTCACCCTGGTGCCCATCCCATTTACATCCGTCCATAGTCAGTCATTCTGGATCCCACTTCTCTAAATTAAACTTATATGATACACAGAAAGAATGGGCAATCTATCCAGCTTGCAGTCATTTAGGGAACACCACATCCTAAAATATATGAAATAGTTCTGTGATACAGAAATTCTTACATCCATCTCCTGTTTGCAGATACTGCAAGCAGCACCCAATCCAACACCAAGAGGTGATGGCACAGTGCCACTTCTCAAGCCACGTTCCTGTCCACCACCATTTATTATTGGTTCCAGGCGAACTCTAGGTCGTTTACGAACGTACAAAGCACCTACACCTGTTCAACAATAACAGAATCAACCACAGGGAATAAGTTTAACACAGATAAAGAAATTAAATGAAATATAAATCCTGCCTTTCCTGTCAGAATAGTACAGTCAGTGATTAACAAGCACGTGTTTCTTAACTATAAACAAGTAATATTTAAGGAAATGAAAGTCTTATTCTATTTATGGTTCCTGGAAAGTGATAAAAGTACATGCTTTCATATTCAATGAAGATGTGATTTTGTTCACATTATGCCAAATTAGATGCAAACATAAATGAAAATAACAAGGATAAAAAAAGAAATACTATTAAATGTAGGAGCAAGGTATTATTAATTATGAATTTAATATAGCTCTCCATTTTACATGCATGTATGTAAGGGCTGAACCAAAAAGAATCAATTGTAATTGTATTGTTACTGAAATACATGTACGCTGTGTGCTGTGTTTGATGTGAATGCACACAGACTGACTAACTTTCTGGAGTTATAAACTCCAAAAGTTCATTGTCACAATGAACACTAGCAATGGATACTCACCACCACCCCACTGCCCGCGCGCCCAATGCTACATTCAAGCTACAACATATTTTCTTAATTTTCATTTTAACATTATAACATACTGGTCACAATCCTTGCAATTCAGAAGGACATTTAAACAAAATAATGTTTACCTTTAGGTCCATAAATCTTGTGGCCACTAATAGACATGAGATCAATATTCAGATCATTGACATCAATAGGTACCTTTCCTGCTGCTTGAGCTGCGTCTGTATGAAAGAAGATGTTCTTGGACTTGCACAATTCTCCTGAAAAACATTAAATTACAGGCAATAAACAATTACAACTCACTTAAGAATTGCTTCCCATAATGTCTACATTCTTCACACTGCATGCTGAGTTATAATGCAAAAAGAAAAAAAATCTTTCAACTGTATGCTTTTAACTTACAATTTTTATTAATGGAAAGATTCAAGTGTCAAGAGGTGGTTGGAAATGCTGCTTAAATATTATATATATTAAGAGACAGTTTTTTCTGTTGTGATGTGGTGAACACCCTTGTATATACTCTTATAAACATTCCTCTCCCCTGGTAATTCATCATTGTTAATGATTATATCATTCCCAATGATAGAATTATGACATGAATGATGGCCAACAAAGATAACCTACATTTAAATGAACCATGATGCATTAAGGTAGTCCTTACATTCATGTTTTAACTTCAACACAGGGGAAGGTTGTGACTGACAAGTATAAAAACTTGAACTGTATTCTTCTAAGCCTTAAAATTACACCAGTGTAATCACTGTTACAAGTTCCAATAGCAGTGCTTCTGACTTCTACTCAGTAGGTACCCAGTTTCAGTCTTGATCAGGACAGTGACTATACAGACTCAAATTTTCAGTTGCTTTCCCAGCCTTTCAAAGCAGATCAGGATAGTACCGTTAATAAGCCATAATCACGTCACATCAATGAAATAAATATATGATCTGTAACAATCCTTTGGGAAAGTGCATGGCATTTTTATAGAATTATATTAATATATGAAACTACAAACTGAATGCCACAGTTGAACAATTAGCACTCCTGCTTCATATTATTAAGGTCCCAGATTAAAATTTCTACTTGACCTACCAATAAAAGTGAAACATTATCTCTGAAAAGCTGCATACAAAAACACATGGAATTAAACAGTAAAAATGACAAGTAATATTTTTATGCACAGCTGCATCCCTGTGTAGCATCTACTAAAATCATTCTACCTGTCCACCTGTATACACATAATAACTGAAGAATGGCTGAACAGATTTTCATGAATTTTGATACTGTGGACTTTCACTTAAACATTTTAACCATTTGAATTCTGACTGAAATTACATTAACACCTACATATGTTCTTGCATAAGAATGACACCATTCATAAGGGCTAAAGGTCAAATTCTAGTGATTACACTAGAATTGTTACACTACACATACATTTCCTAACTTGTTTCATTTAAGGCACTATTACATACATTCCACAACACACGTTCATTAAACATTATATAAATGATACATGTTCACACCTATTTGTCTAATAGGTTGCCGAACACCAATTTCATTGTTGATGAACATGATGGTTACCAGGGCAGTGTCAGGTCGAATAGCTTTCTCTAATTCCTCCATACTGATGAGCCCCAAATTATTGACAGGCAGGTAAGTCACTTTAAAGTCTTCTCCTTCCAGCTGGCGACATGAAGCTAACACACATTTATGTTCCTGTAATAAGCCATTTTATATTAATGATTTAGGGATGAGAAGTATACTATTTTGTCCATTAAACACACATTTATATGCATTTAAATTCTGGTGATCCCTATAGGTAATGTAACTGAGGTACAAATATGATGTCAACCTTGATTTCATGTATCAGTTTTTACAGAGTTTCTTTGTTTTTGATTATTATGCAAAATATTGTTGCAATTAAGAAAAAAACATTATATCAGCCAATTAGCTTTTAAAAATATAAACACTGTCTTACTGTCTTCATAAACTCTTACATACCCAACACTTAGCTGTATTAGGTTTCACTGCTTCTCTTAGCAACATATCAAAATAAGCATGGCAAACTTTTCAAACATACCAACCAGCAATCACCACGAGTATCATCAATATCACAATTTAAACAAAACATATTAAATATTCTCTGCTGTTACTATCATTAATTGGTACTGGCAGCCAGTATCCATGATTTAATGGCCCACTTTACTATGAAGAATCATAAAATTTCATATCTGATTTCCTTTTGTGAAAACCAAATGTTATACCAACTAATCAAATTTCTCCTCTCCTAGGTAGTCTCTATTTTATTTAACTACTTACAGTTTATTTAAATATACTGTCAGTAGCTCAGACTATGTAGACTCAAATGAGGTTATGATTAATGAATTGGAAAGGACATGGAATGAAGTGTCATGATCTAATTTAAGGGACTATCTGGCATTTTCCTTAAAGGATTAGGGAAGAAACACAAAAAACCTAAGCCAGATTTGAGCCCAGACCTCCCGCATGCTATGTAAGTATGGTAACCGCTCAACGATGAAGTTTTATTCAAACTAGTCTACTCCTGATTCAAAATGAATATGATTCCAGTGGTTTTGTTACTGCATGATGCACTTTTGGAACTATTTTCTCAGAATGTTGTTTAATTCCGTGTTACACTTTGAACGGTCCCTGGCACTTTCTGAATGCCTTATCACTTTTGGGTTCTTTCAGTTTTGGGAATGAAGAAATAACCTACTCTTTCACTCTGTGAAGTTTGAAAGTCCCTTAGCAAAGTAAATGTCATTCACTAACTACAACTGCAAAAACGTGAGAATACATACTGTCTGTGTAGTAATGATGTGTCTCTTCTTAGCACCGTAGAAATGTGCCACACCTTTAATTGCTGTATTATTTGACTCAGTTGCACCTGATGTGAATATTACTTCAGAGGGGTCACAATTAATTAGATCTGCAACTTGCTGTAAAAAAATATCAAAATACTTTATTCCTCAAATACATGATGATCATCTTGCATACATCATCTCAAACTTATTTCTATCACCTTGTAGGCATTTCTCTTATAAAAAGTTTCCAAGTGTTGTTGGGAGGTTAATATTAAAAATATCAATCTTAAGGAGGGTGTAATCTGAAATTATGACACAGGACAGGGACCAAAGGAGGGCTCCTGTGAACATGGTAATAAGCCTTCAGGTTCCAGAATTGGAATTTTCTAACTAGGAAATTGATTATCAGTTTCTCAACGATATAGTTACTTAGGAACACCCACTTTTCTTGCTGCTTCCATAGCTTTCTCACTCTCCCAGCCATATGCATGCGTTCTAGAATGAGGATTACCATGGTAATGTGTTAAATACGGCAACATAGCATCCAGTACACGTGGATCCTGCACAAAAAAGGTCATAAAGAGAAGAAGTTCATTTCACAAGAAATGTTAATAAACAACCAACTCTCAATCATCTCAACTAATAACAAAGAGATAACCGAAAGCGTGGCATTCATTGTCAGACAACTCTACTGTGAAACATGTTAATATAATCTTCAATCAATAGTAGCAGAATTTACCATAATAACTGCATGGAAAACTTGAAAATGCACTTGTGCAGCAACAGTTTACCTTCATTACAATGAACTGTAACTGTTACTAAATCTTGCCTGAATGCATGTCAATATTATCATCCTGGAAGGTATTAGGCCATATGGCATGTTATGGTTTCATACCATCTCTTCGGTGGTCAATATAACAAGTAAAATACCCTACTAGTCCCCAATATATTATATTGTACAGTTTCAGTACACTTATTTCCATTAAGTGTAATAAGAGACCCTCAATTCTTCTGCTCAGACAGCATACGATATAGATAATTGAGAATTAGTTGCAATGCTACATAAATTAGCTATAACAAAATCTTTAAAAACATCGCCACTAGACTTAAAAACAGGTGAAGACACTAAAAAAACAGTAATAACCTTTGACTGTCATAATAATTAAATGTTTTGATGACTTCATAAAACCAGCACTTAGAATTCAATATGAACTGATGTTTATGACTCCACTTTCTGCTGCACTCTTGTGGCAGAAATTAGGGCTAAACATAAAATCTATTTTTGACACTAAATTAATATTTTTCTTTCCATTTTATTCTACTAAGAATCTCAGACCCATGATATTAGGAACAACTAAATGATTATGGACTGAAAATCTTACTGACAATAAACACACTCCTGACAACTAATAATGTTCTTAGCAAGCTTACCATTGGAGTTGTTGCCTGTGCATCCAAATATAAAGGCCTGCCATCAGTAGGCAGTTGTTTGGTGAAGTCAATAGGTTTCCTCTCTTTAGGTAGACCTAAAACTACAGGGAATGAAATAAGAATGCCAGGCCTCTGTAAGTACTTCCATAATAAAACCAATCAACATCAAAGCGGAGTCCACAGGTAAATCATACAAAACATATCACTTCAAAGTCAGAAAGAACTATTACTAAATACTATATTACAAGATTACTTTCTTATGTTGTAAAAACTGACATGGTGCTCTGAATAGTAAACCATCATATGGGATGGTGAGAAAAAGAAGGTAAAAATAACGTAATGAAGTTCATATAGAACAACATTTAATAAGTTCAGTTGGTTTGTTACACAAACTTTGTAAAGTTCTAAACAAAGAGTTTCATTCAAATCTAATAAACTGCTGATCTTAGCATTGTTTTAAGAAGTGCCATTTTTAGCACCAACCAGCAAATGTATTCACAGTCACAGATGCTGATAACCGTTTTCTAGCAGTGTGAATCACTTAGATTTACAGTAAGTTAACATCAGGTCCTTTAATGTGAAACATGAAAGAAGAGACAGAAAGAAGATTTCTGTCTTCTGGGTTATTGCGCTGAATATATATTCATCGCCCTGATGACGGAGGCAGTATGACCTCTGAAACGTTGGTTAACATCAACCAGACTACACAGCGCAATAACCCAGAAGACAGAAATCTTCATACTCACCGCTGTGAGAACCTCAAGTCTTACAAGAGACAGAAAATTGATCATGCTGCAGAGATTTTGAAAGATTTACTGTTCATTACAGTGTTCTGGACATCAATTTTCATCCCTTATCACTGTATTCTACCAGGGTTTAATACATGTCACTATTGAACACATCAACATTTTCTTTCTCAACGTATACAAATTCTGTCCCAACATCAACTTCCACAACACCACAATGCTAGAAAAAGCAACTGGATACATGGACCGACTTGTAAAGGAAGCCATAGAGATCTGGCTGCATCCCGACAACTTTAATAGGGATGGAGGTTTCATCTTGAGCCGAGCATGGTATCCGGTGATGAACATGCTCAGGAATGTTGGGGGAACGCCAGGAAGTAAGCAGAGCCAAACAAACTGAGCGCTCGACTCCGTGCCCTAACTCCTTGGGCCTGGTCTCAAGCAGGCAGTTGCACAGGCGACTTCTAAGGATCCAGTCATATCAGAACCCTGAAGATGGGGACAGAGTTTGTTCCCGAAACGTCAGTTTACTACGGTAACCAGCTAACGCGGCTGATTGCCCGAGAAGATTTTATTGTAGAATGGCTGTCCATCCAATGCATTAATGCCTGAAGACATATGCCAAATTCATAACTATTCCCAGTGACAATCACATAACTACAACTGATGCATGTGATGTGATCCATGCTGATAAAGACAGTGTGATAGCCATTATGTAAAACCTGCCCATATCAAGGTTTGTTTTATTGCCACATACAACTTATACAGAAGCTGAGACTTCATTGAGATACATTATCATAGAAGATAAGACCTTATCCTTCTCAAATCAAAACAGAACGTAGCAATATGAGGTCAAAAACAAACCAAAAAACTGGTGCAGTGGCAGGCCTGTACACAAATCTGCACTGTAAACAACTGTCAAACCATAACCTAAAACTTATACACTAATCTAGTAGTTTCATCCGAAATCAAATAAAAACTATGCAAACTGCATTCATACCTTGCGGAGCTGTTGCATACTGACGGTTAGATACTCGTCCGTCACAATACTGGTTAACTGCGAAAGTTCCGAAGTAAACAGCAGTGCTTATATCTTTTGCGCCTCTAGATTTCTGTCCCAATGCATACATTTGTGATAAACGAATCATTATGATACTTGTAAGGGCAGTTTCAACAATACAATTAAAACAAACGTATTTTACCTGCACATCAATGCAAACAACATAACAGAACAAACACAATTATCAACACACGTCTTGCAACAGTTGATTTTCTTTAATATCATCTGTGACTAGGAAGATTACTCTTTGGAGATGTTACGCCATATAGAGCCAAAGAGGTTGACCGTCCATCATCATCATCACAAGACTATCTGGGCATGCACACTACAAACCTAACACAAGCTAAACCCTTCAGTGGTGATTTTCGTATACATGCATGCAATATCTGCGAAATGGCTGTAAGAATTTAATGAAATGATGCATAAATATAGCCACATAACCATGTTTCAAACACATACTCTTTAATTTCCTATCAGCGTGGCGGTTCCTCGAATAGCAGTGACTTACTCCAACAGAAAGTTAGCTAATTGTGGACTTTGGAAAAGTATTTTAGTTGGTTAGGACAGAATTTCTGCACTCATACAAGGAAGCTCTTTTGTACCATATGACAAAAAGAGTGGTGTTTTACTTAATGTATGGTAATAAAATTACGTTTCTTTATGATAATACCTGCCGATCATAGAGACTCAGCCCTGCTTCTGGAAACTTATTGATGGTAGGCTGAAAGGCATACAATACAGGGTAGTAAATTGCAGTGCATTGTCTTGCTACAAGGATATTACCTCCAGATAATTTTATTTTAAGCCACAAAGCACTTTTTAACAGTCTCTTATTCTTATGTATGATGGTACATTTTGGTACTGGTATTGGTATAAGTACATTTTTATTGTAGTTCCTTTATGCATAACTATATTGCACTGAGACATTTCCAGGAAATAAAGGAAAATCATGTAGCCCATATCTGACTCATTAACTATGTGGAGCAGGGTCCTTGAGAAGATAACAAGTAGTTCCCAACCATTCATGGAAAGTGAAGGTTCATGACCATGTCCACAAGAACTTACTACTGTTCTGTATCCTGAGCCAGATTAATCCAATTTACACCGTATTTACGATCCATTTTAATATTATAATTCTATGTAATACCTAAGTCTAAGGGTCCCCACCCATTCCTTGATTTTATGACCCTAATAATTTCATGAGTTAAAATTTTGAAGCTTCTCCCTTTTTATTTTCTCAATCCTCCTGGTACTTCCTCTCTCTTAGATCCAAATATGCTCTTTAGAACCACCTTCTCAAAAACCCTCAGAGTGAGAGACCAGGTTAAAAATGCTGTTGAAAGTGGAACATGCAGAATAAAGCTAACAATTACCCTCTAAATATATTATAGGGTTGGACTGGTGTCCTAGGTTATGATGCTTCATAGTCGTATAGGTGTTTACCAACACTTCCTGTCTTCATCTTTATTTATGCCCTGATGATGGAGATGACAAGTTCATCCACAACATTAGTAATCACTTTCAAGACTACATGGGATTATAACCAAGAGCACAATCAAAATTTTATCTGTCATGAAAACTTCAGATTTCAATAATTCTGGTCATTTACATAATAGATTCTTTGCTCATCACCTATAAAGTGAGATCAAGTATCCTTTTGGCATATTAGTGACAGAGTAATATACAAATTTGTGACTAAGTTGATCATCTACATATTAAAAAAAATAACTATCCTATCAGTCAGATATATTTACAGTAATTTAAGTACAGCTACAACCAATTACTATAATTTACTATGTTATGTTACACCTTGTCAGTATCATTTACTTTTATTAATTTAATAGATTAAGTTCTTGAAGACATCAAATTAGTAAATAATAAGTTATATCATAATTGACATTTTTACTTTTCTTTTAAATTGAAAATGTTTACAAAATTAGAAAACATAAAATATATAGCCACAAAAAGGCACATTATTACCACAGGACTCACATTTCTGTGGAGTATCACACATCAGAACAATCACCCTTCACTTCTAACCTATGATGATGGTGATGATGAAACATCTGCATTTCTCTGTTTCAGGCAGTGATTGAAGTGGGTTATGAAACACTTCAGGTACTTCCAACATAAGTAAGAACATTGTGAGTTGTATGAACTCTTATTATTATTTCATGAACTTAATAAATATACAAATGGGACTGGTAAGTAAACAGATTACATGATCTGATATATCCAGTTGATTTTATCAACTGCAGTGTGTTGACTTAAAATATGACCAGTCCCAAGGAGAGCTCTTCAAAAGAATAAATTACTTTATTCTAATAACATTCCTCTTAATTAGGAATCATATGCACTCACCTTCACTTATACTAATCAATCAATTATACTGTGTACCAATCCTTATAACAGTGATTGGCCCGTGATAAAGCTTTGTACCACAAATGTTGTATTTTACATGGCAGTGCTAAGTCATAAATCAAGTTTGTCTTCAGTGTTTTCTGTAATCCAAATATAAAAATCTTCTTTCTTACTATAAATGCATGTAACACCAACATGGTTACATTATACCATATGTTCAAATTCATAAAATGTGTCATCAAAATAAAAGTAAATCATATACAGTGGTTAAAATGCCACTCTTCGGTATGTATGTCAGCGGTATTTTGCTGAACAGAAATTAGTAGTGTCAATCAAGTTTAGTTCACCTGATAAGCTTAGTTGAAGAGAGTGGTTTCAAAACTTGCTCAAACCATTTAATAACGTTTTGTGAAAACAGACTATTTTTGAAGCAGATTTAGTAAATTAACAAGAACTTCACTTAGACTGAAGATGGAAAAATTGGTTGAGGATTTATAGAACTATAGTTCTTCACTGATAAGATTTCAGGTCCTTATAGTGGTGAGTAAGAAGATGGGTTGTTGCACTGTGCAGTCTGGTAAAAGTTTACCGATGTTTCAGAGGTGCTTGCTACCTCCATCATTACCCACTGCCCTCTGAAAAGTCAGCAAACTACCAGACTACACATCACAACATAGAAGACAGCCATCTTCATATACTCGACTTTATTCACGCACTTCTTTCCTCAACTGATTGGCACTGTTACTCATAGCTTCAAGTCTGCCAGCTTCTTAACCAAGACAAAAAGAACCAGTTCTATCACTGTGTTGTTCTTTCATTTAAATTTATTCTGATTTTATTTTACCACATCACTGGTGTATAGTCTGATGCACAACCAGTAGTATAGGTCATGCAAATGTTTTTAGACCCAATATTCTTCATCACTCTGAAACTCACAAGTCACCATGATGATGGCAAGACTTGGTATAAAAACTATGAGCTCACTGGACATGAACTGAGGAGAATGTTGTTCAGACTTGCCATGTCTGTCCAGTCTTTGGGTTTCTTACCAATAACCACATTACGGATGCAGCCCTTGAAGTTATCTCTTGTTCCTAATGTGCCACTGGGTGCACCCTCTGGTAACACAAAAGACAATGGAAATTAACAAAAGGGAAGAATGTACTCAGACCATTGGAGAGCAGCAGAGAGGATAAATATAGAACAATTATCAGCATTTAAAATGTTCATTAATATAATATAGACATAAATCCAGAAATCACTGAAATAACTACAGTAATTTTTGTCTCCACTTAAGGGTTTGTGAGATTTAACATCTAGCTAGGTCCATAGATGACAGCCGGTCCTGCAAACCACCCTGATAGACAAAGTAGATAAAAAGGAAACAACAACTGTGTGTTTGATTTCTTCAAACCTGGACTTTCTGTTGGAATAAAGTTTGTCTATCTGTTTATTCCTTTACTTATTTATGGTTTATTTAACAATGCTTTTATCAGCCTAGACAATTTACAGTGTTGGATGATAAATGATTAATGAATACTGATTTAGAAAGCATAGATGAAGTAGTCATGGCCAAATTTAAGGTACTATCCCAGTATTTACATGGTGGGATGGAGGAAAACCACAAAAAAGTTCAGTCAGGATATATTGTACCCAAGCTGAGATTTGAACCTCAGACCTCCTGAATTTGAAACAAGAATGCTGAACAGTTGGCTGTAATGTTCAGTGGAACAATACTGCAATACCATATAATGATGAATTTCTTTCAGTACCAAGCCATCAGTTGAATTGTGGAGTCAAAGATAGACAGATAATAAAATTACACCAAATCTATTTTGTTACAGATGGAGTTACAATCATGTCCCAGTGTAAGAGGTCTATTGAATGACCTATCAGAAGACAGTGGAATAACTTGATATGAACACTGAAATTGTGAAATTGGTTGTGCCAAAAAAATCTCAACAGTAGCAAAATATGAAAAGAACAAATGTTCTCAGACAGGAAAAAAGCACAAATATCAAAATAAAAAATCATGCTGTTATTCTTTGAAGATTGTAACTATGCTAAGAAAGTGAATCTGCTTTTATCAGGAACACTTGTTTTAGTACAACAGCAAAGACTGCTTGAAACTCAGAAATCAAATTGATTTATTTCTTCCTATTAATACTGTATAATAGTATTCAATTCATTCATTAAAGTGTTTGCCAACAGTGAGGAGCAAATGACAGGCAAACACTGATACTGCTCTTGACTATAACTTACCAGGTAGTCCACCTATATACAAAGGGCTATTGGTGCTTGCTTCAGTAAATATCCCATTGCCTGAATGACCATACGCTGTAGCAAAATTATCAACCCTAAGATTCAGCACATCATTTTCAAAAAATGCCTTCACATGATGCCATCTGTTGTCACATACAGTGAATCGTGATGGAAATCCTTGCTCCACATGGAATGGGCGTTGGTTCCCCATGTCACCAGTCATAATCACCTATTTAACAAGGGATCACCCAAATATTATTTTAAAATAAGGTTTTCAGTTAAAAGGAAAACATTCATTACCAAGATAGCAATGTCACACAGCTCGATTAGCATTACATGACATTTGCAAAAGGCACAGTGAAAGTTTGCAAATAAGCATTGTGTACTTTGAAGATTGCACCTGTATAAACAAATATTTGTCGCAACTGAAAGTGTGACATTGACAAAGACAAATATAATAATTACAAGGCACAATGGAAACTATGGTTTTATGGATGAAGTATCGGTAAATATTTTAAAACTAACATTAAACACTATAGAAATGGATTACAAAGGTGATTCCAAATAATACATGAGGTGGCCAGAGTACTTCCCCAGTTTTAGATTCATGGGCAAACACAGACCATGTTTTGTTTTAAGTGGTTGTGCAGGCAAATATAAGAATCGTACACTAAACTGGTTTTTACAAGTATAGAATTTCACTATCACTACACTTCAAACATTTGTTCATTCATTCTTAAGGGTACACTTTCACATCATAAGGGGAAAATTGTATAATAAATCCAGCTTGTTTTATAGTTACAAACTGTGCAAGGAAGTGGAGGCAAATATGTGAGTAAATGCAGTGTATTTTGTCTATGATTTTGAACTCACTGGGTGCAGTTATTTCCTCTGAGAGAATTAAAATAACCTGTATTACTTTATGATTAAATGAATTGTGGAAATGGCTGTTTGTATCTTTATTTGTGGGCAAAAGCTCCAGATCAGAAGGAAATGAAGAAGAATGACAAACATGTGCCATAAATAATAACATTAATACAATATAGGTTTCTGAATTTCCTACATATATACATTATTGAGGAAAATTTTATTTTATTTTTACATACACTACTACAATTGTTGTGATTCAGGATAACAAAATTAATAAAAATTTGATGTCTTGTATCTTGAACTTACTTTTCCATCATTGATTTCAAGGGAGAGAGCTGGGTACCCATTAGGCTCTGATACACTCAGTAGCACTCCTGTATTCTCTGAGGTACGGAACTCTAGCTGCAACTCCAACTGTGAACCAACATGGAACTTTTCCTCTAGAATAAGAAAAAGAATTGCAAGAAGCAATTTCTGCATTGTGTGCACTTACTTGACAGATCAAATAACTGTAACATGTGTTACACAATACTTCATACTTTGGAGTAAGTTTCATACTAAGTTTTGCTTCTTATGTGTGCTAGCTGTTTTAATGATGTGTACTGGACACTGAGTTTAACATTAATGATAATGAAAGACAAGATAAATGGAAATAAATTTGTCCCTGTACCATCAAGAGCCTGACCTGATTGATGGGATTCTGAGCATACATATAGGTTTGTTACAAGATCCACTGCAAATTTCATGGACAAAACCTATTACAATATATAGGTTTAAATCAACATGAATGGAATTTAACTCCATTACCAGTAGATTTACAGACAATTCGATTTTTGCATATGTTGAAACAATACATATGACTAAGAATTTGTTGCCACAACATGGTGTAGACTGATAAATAGACTGGCAAAGTACACATTTTCATATCAGAGAAAATAGACAGTTTATTATAATGTGATAAAATATTCCAAGATGATCAGACTGGCCAATTTGGAGCAGCACTACAACATATCAGAGATCATCTTTGTGACCACAATTTATTTGAATTATGTCTGAATTTGACATGATTCATTATCCAAGAAGAATTTTATTACTTTTAACTGTTGTGAACATTAGTATTATATATGTATGATCTGAGGTATTCTATAGCTTTTTATACTGCATATAGACAAATGAAGATATGTAATGAAAGCAAGCTCTATTAGGTCTTATCCAAGCATCCAGTATTAGATCTCTGATAGTATTAGAGCCAAAGAGGATAACATTTGCTCTGAACCACATAGGATTATTATATAAATAAATTATATAATCTCCAGGATCTAGTTTAAGTTTTCTCATACAAAGAATATCATCACTCTGTCTACCTCTCTTCAAAGTCTTCTCCATAGAATATTTATATTTTCTTTTAACAAGTTAGTATAGTAGTTGAATGGCTGGTTGGAACATGACAGTCAGTGATACAACAATAATATATGATGAAATGAAAAGCAGGTACTATGGGTCCTTTGCAGTAAGGTGCTATTTTAGCTTATATCTGGGAATACTGCAGTAAACTCACGTAAAGATACTTACCATAAACTGCATAAGCATCACCAGGAAAATATGAACCCTTCTCCACCAAAGGAAAGCACTGTCCCACTTTATGTCCTGATAAGTTCTGGCTTTGCTGATTTATTGCCAGTCCTCGCAGACATCCCTTGAAGCCTTCCAGTTTTTGTAGCTGTAAGACACCATGTCCTTGGTTACAGAAAACTTTGTACTATTAACATATGAGCCAGCATACTGGAGTGTATTTCCTTTTATATATGAAAATCAGAAGATATGCCAACTGTAAGGTTATCTTTAAGATATGTTGAACACTTTGTGGCATCCACCATCAGGGCAGAAGTGAAGATGAAGGTGATAGGTTTCCTCTGAAATGTTGGTAACTATCTAATAGATAACCTAATAGACCAGAATGTAAATAAGGGATTACTTGCATATAGTAATTTTGATTTCAATAGAAATATGAATAATTGTATTGATGGTGAAGATCAGTAGTTGGTATGCTTAAGTCTCACTGAAAATGGCTTAGTTATTAGCAGGTCACCTGTTTAAAAACCACATGATGCAAAGTTGATTATTGTGTACATAGTAAAAATGTAAATAACACAAAATGTTTACTAGATGTTTCTCTGTATTTTAATCTTTAAATGACTCAGACATGCAAATTAATTTAGAAGTTATGATATTTTCTTTTTGTCCAGAGCTACAAGTAGGTAAGGAGCAGACAAAGAGTCCTCAGGATGACTATTTCCAGCCTCATCATTAAATAAAAGCCAAAGAAGAACATTTAACAGCCATGCAGCATGGCTTATGTGCAGTCTAGTTGACTGTGTCACACAGATTTCCATTAACTGTTACCCTCATAGTTAAAAGTCCAGCTGGCAACCCCATAGTATAAGAGTTTATAATTACAATTCTAGGAATTAAATTCAGATTTAAATTACAATACATTTGTAGAACATTCAATGGTTTTTTTTGCATGCAATGAGTTTTTGGAGGATGGCACTAAAAGAATTAAACATCAAAAGTAAAATATAAAAAGGATCTATTACAAAAGCTGTTTACTGCCACAAAGTAACATTTTCTCCAATAAAGCCATACGTACCAATAGGTCTGGCAGAAGTATCCCATTTTCTGGAACTCCACCCACATACATGGTATTGCCAAAGTTGAGCTTCTTGGGGTATCGTTTGCGTCGCTTAGGTTTATTTGAGTCAACAATCATCATAATCCTGTTTCCTTCCCGATTCAACACAACACGATGCCACAAACCATCATTTAAGTCCTGAGTGTCTTGAATATCTAGTTTAGGCTCCCCTTTAACTATAAGCAGATGGAGTCGCTTGTTTCGGAGTTGCAACAATATATAATGCAGCTTCTTTCCTTTCCCGCCCTATGAAACAAAAGAAAGTGCAGCATGGTGCCTGTGTTTCATACTATCTCTGGAAAGATAAAGAATCTCAGAATTCATACTTTTCTTTATTATAAGTTTTTTTATTAAATCAGAGAATGGCTTATTTTAAGTGTAACAAATAAGAGTAAAAATCTGCTTTTACAGGTCTTTTTGTAGAATGTCCTCTAACACGCAATTTTAAAACATTTTGCGAGACAATTGAAAACAGCTGTATGTACAGTAACTTCCAAACAAAATAAATGCAATGGCAGCTGCACATTGCTAAATGACACAACAGAGGATCCTCTTTATTAAATTCATTACATTTGATCAAAAAAAGGCATCAGTTATGTTATCTCAATTATGTTAAATGAAGACCGATAAAACACAGACAGAAGTGACAGGATTGGGATATGGTACAAAAAATTAACATTTGTGATACAATACACTAAAATCTCTAGTTTATGAAGTCCTCAATAAAAGTCTTTGGTGGTGGTAAAGTTGTCCCAGGTTATGAATAAAGTATCACAATGGAGACTGGAGGTATAGCAGTATGCATTCTTAACCTCAGCACCAAATGGAGTTGAATGGTCAGGTTCATTACCCAGCTGCTTTATCCTAGGCAAAAGATACCATTGTACATGGCACCCATTAAACAGAAGAATGGGTGGGCCCCAGAGCCATTATGGTTGGTGAAGAGAAAAATCATTGCTGTGCCAGAAATAAAACCCTGCACATCCAGCTCAAGTGTAGTCACTATACTGAATGAACCACGACTAAAAATATTTAAACCCCTAAATTATATTATAACTCGAATGTCAGATTTGTTGTATGAGTGTATTACTGTGCAATCAGCTTTTCCACAGTTTTATTCCAAACCAGAATATGCCTTTATCTCTACTTAAAATAGTAGGAAGTTTGAAAATTCAGCATGACAGTTAACAGAAACAAGCAAATCAAACAATGGGATTGTAATTCTATCACAGTAATAAAATTTACTTACCGGTAATAAGAAGAGGAGGCCATTTGGGTACAGGGTCCGAAAATCCAATTCAACAGTGAAATCTCCAGCCTGAAGCACACTTTTACGTTGACGAATCTGAACGTGACTGTGAGGGGAATCTCCAAATTTGGCAGCTCCAGGCTCTAAGGAATAACTTGGTCCCTTGTGACACTCTTCCACTGGACCATTCCCTCCTTCCCCTCTTCGTGGTGATAGTAGAACTGAGGGTGATGGACTGCCTAGGGGGTAGCTTTCTACAATGCTAATTGCGTCCAGTCGTCCTATTCCCACATGTTCAAATGATATTGGGTGATCCAGCTGGAGCAGTCTGTGAAAACAAACCACATATTGCAGAATTAAAAGTCGACAACACAGGGGCATAAATAGGAGCTACAAATGCAAAGTGATGTAAAATGCTTTTATTACCGGCAAACAACATCAGAAGAAGATAATATTCCAAAGGGAATCTTAATTTCTGTTTTCCATTAAGTTATTTCACTTAAAATTCCTCTATTACAGCTAAATAAAATTCCCTACCTTAACATCCACATTCAAATGTACAGATTATTAAAATGTGATAATCCTGTTGATAAAATTCTGAAGAGTATGGGTCCCACATTACAAAGTTTAAATAAAGACCATTGCATGCAGACAGAATGCAAACACTGTAATAATTATGGGCAATGAAATATGCTTTCATCACTGTAATCCAGGCTGTAACATTAGTCACTACAAAACTGAAATACCATGAAAAGTTGTTAAGAGGAGTTTCTCTCCATGATCTACAAAACACAAAGTTAATCTTCTGGCAGAAATTACTTTTCGCAAGTTACAACTGACACTGAAGTCTGAACCTTTTCTCCAACAGACTATATAGACTACTGAGGAAATTCCTTCAGGGGAAAATATTTTGCAGTGATGAAAATAACAGCCCTCTGAGTCACAGAGCTGGAACTGCGCAGGTGTGGCCATGATGTGTCACTATGTGTTACAGCACACTCACCAATCACAGACTGAACAAACAACTTACCGAGATCTCCCTTAGCTTCATAACATACTTGTCAAGTTCTTCCCATAGCACTCTATTAGCAACATAAAAAATGCATGTTTTGCTGCCAAGTTCCTGGAAAATCATTCTGATGTACAATGACACTGTGGGTCTCAGGATCTCCCCCACCCCCTCACATGTGAATCACATAGACATAAATCATCTAAGCATTAGAACTTCAAATCTCTCCTTTAGTCAACTTACTATCCAAATTGTATCATTATATGTGTATTTTAAAAGCTTGGGAAAATGCAAAATAATAAAAACTTTGTACTCTGAATTCAGCATAAGGGAAACCATATAACTATAAACCCATGTTGTATATGCAGCAATTGATAATAGTATAAATTTATTTATTTATTTAATTATGCTTTTTTCAGTATTTCACAGTATATAGTGTCAAAATAAGAGTATAAAAACTACAATCTAAGAAATTCTGAACTTACTGGTCATTGAATATTACATCTTTTATAGTTCCAATAAGTGGGACTGGTGATGCTTTGAGGGCAGTGCTGGTGAAATTGGATGGAACTCCTCCAAAATACAGTCCACCTGAAGGACCTGGTGCACGTACAACAGTGGCTCCCTTTGGTAAGGTCACAGTGTCCTGAAGTTCATCGTCAATTCTTAGCTCAAGTCGACGACCTGTTTTTGTCACTGATAGTGAATGGAACTTCCCATCATTAAAATGCTTCTTAGGAGACAAGGTAACACCACCACGTCCAGCATTTAACTGCACGTTAAGTGTTCCATCTACCAAAGAAACAGAGTAGAAACTTTGACCTGGTTCTCCATCCCTGAACAAAGAAATGACATACTGCTGAGAAAAGTACTGTCATGTTTTTCTCACATAAACAAACAAAATATTTATATATGTAATGAGTGTTATATTACCACCTGCAAATTTCTAACATTAGTTCTGTTACTGCTGCATTTGACTGTAATCAAATGTCCATGCATTACCATATACTGTGAAATTCAATTTTAATTAATTTTTTCATTTGCTGCAGCATTTTACTTCATGCCCTCAGCTTAAAATTTTTTTTGCTGGTCTGCATAGTGCTGCCATCTAGTTTGAAAAAGTGTATAAATATTACATGGCTAAAATACAGTTGAAAGTTGTGTCTTTTGAGCACAATATTGATAATTATGGAAATATTTCTCAATTTGAAGAACTTACAAGACTGTAAAAAAAACGTGTTCTGTAAATATACTTTTTTGGTATGTATCTATTTCTTGTTATGGAAAATTTGTTTTAATTAAATACCTTTCAAGAAAATTAAATTCCTAAATGAATGTTCAAAGAACAGAACTTTCATGAAGAGTTACTATGGTTTTCTTTAGGTTGGCAAAGTCATAAATTGGTGCAGCCTATATTACGAGGCTCGTCCACAAAGTAAGTTTCCCTGGGGCCGTTTACGGAAACAAAACACAATTTCCTGGAAATATTTATTGCAACAGATACAGCAAGTGTCCAGCTATTTTTCAACATATTCGCCACCGGAATTGAGACAGTGGGCATACCGTGGGACCAACTTTTGAATACCTGTGTCGTAGAAGTCTGCCGCCTGGGATTGGAACCACTGTGTGACAACCATCTCCGCCTCTCTGTCATTCTCAAAACGCTGACGCTGACCGGACAGGAATTTCTTGAGGTGTAGGAAAAGATAGAAATCACTGGGAGCGAGGTCCGGGCTGTAGGGTGAATGATTAAACACCTCCCAGCTGAACTCCTGCAGGAGACTTGCTGTCCGTCGAGCCGTGTGCGGCCTAGAGTTATCGTGCAGGAACAACAATACCGGCACTAAGCATCCCGCGCCGCTTGTTCTGAATGGCCCGTCGCAATTTCTGCAGTGTTTTGCAGTAACGCTCAGCATTCACAGTCTCACCTCTGGTCAGGAAGTCGACGTGGAGAACGCCCCGTCTGTCCCAGAACACCGTGCACATCACTTTCCGCGCCGACGTCTGCTTGAATTTCGTCTTACAGGGAGATCCACTGTGACGCCAATGCATTGCCTGCTGCTTGGTTTCTGGGGTAATGTGTGCAATCCACGTTTCATCACCTGTGATGATCCGGTCCAGAAACTCGTCGCCGCCATCATGGTACCGCTGCAGAAATGTCAATGCTGACTCCATGCGCTTTGTTTTGTGTTCTGGTGTCAGTTGCTTCGGCACCCACCTGGCGCACAATTTCTTGAACAACAGGTGCTCCGTGACAATTTTGTGCAACAAGGAGCGGGAAATCTGCGGGAAATGACTGCTGAGTTCCGTAATTGTGAAGCGACGATTATCCATAATGCGTTCTCGCACAAGCTCCACAAGGTCGTCTGTAATGATGGATGGCCTCCCACTGCGCTTCTCATCATGCACACTTTGTCGACCTGCTGAAAATTGTCTGCACCAGCGACGCACCATCTGCTTGCTCATGACGTTAGGCCCATAGACCCGGCACAGCTGACGATGAATTTCGATCGGCGCTATGCTCTGTGCATTCAAAAACTTTATCACTGACCGCACTTCACAGTCGGCGGGAGCTGGAATAAGAACCTCCATCTTCAACAGCTACAACGATGCTACTGTGAGAACGCGGAAAGTACCGTTAGTGCATGCGCCATGCTACGTCATTGCTCTATCACGTACGCACAGCCGCTTGCAATATAAGGTATTGCTAGATGTGGGACGAGTGGGAAACTTACTTTGTGGACGCGCCTCATAGTATAATAATTAAATACAATGTAGTATTTTATAATTATTATTGTGTATGAGAATGTTATATGAAGAATATGTGCATAACATAAAATGTTGCTCCTACACATTGTGCAAGAAGTAATTTTTCTGCACACATTTTTTATTTACGCAGTACTTATTAAGTTGCAACCAAAACTACTGTCCACAGATCACGAGAAAAACCCTGCTGGGGGAAGTCGTTTCTGGTGCGGTGCGGAGGGAATGTTACTTATCAGCTGGACTAGAGGGCTGCTATTGGTGGGAAGTGTGATGCGTCAGAGTTTTACACTACTACACAAAGACTGAAAACATGAAGCAGTTAAGAGTTGCGTGTAGTGAGTGCACCTCTAATGTGTTCTGCGGGTGTTGCAATAATATTCTAGATTAAATCACTGTGCCACTGTGAGGTAAACTTAAAGCTGTACCCATTTGAACACATGAAAGCCTGTCATCTGTTGTTCGTTCAGTGGTTGTGGAACGAATGCTTTTAGGATGGGTCATCACTCACCGCGAAATGTTGCGCATGCGCATATAACAAATTCCTAGCAGGGATTTTCTCCTGGTCTGCGGACTGTACATGTCTTCTTATAAAGTAGCAGTCTACATTTACTTCCATGAACTAATAGTGTATTTTGTTTAAGAATTTTTTATAATCGCTTTCAGCACCAAAGTTCATAGACATATTAATTTAGAACACAGTTATTGCATTATATGTATACAGATGGGTAGATAGAAATAGTGGAGTATTGTTGTACAACATATTTAAAATTGAAACTCAAACATTTAAATGCAAACATGATAAAATTAAATATGTGACTATCTATAAGAAACAGTCAATTGCTCATATACATGAGATAATTCTGTCATAATTACCTGAATGCTGTTACCATGAGAAGAGCATTAGGTTGCAGTGTTCTGAAAACAAATCCAAAAGATGCATTACGTCGATCAAGAGAATGTGATGGCAGCTGCAGGTGACCTCTGCCATGGAAACTTGCTGTGTCCAGCGTAGAATCTGCACAACCTGCCTCCACACCATAGAACTGTCCACGCAAAGGACTATAACCATCTTGCACTACCTGGATTTCTGCCAGGCAGCCAAGAAATGAGCCAGGCAGGTCTAATTTATTTGAGCCTGTTCCAAGTGAGCCTGGAGGAACTCCTCCAACAAAATACAGGGCATCTGACAGATCAGGCAAAGCTTCCTGACCAGGAGGAGATGTGGGGGCACCATCTCGAGCCTCGCCTTCTACCTTCAGTATGCCTGTGTGATAAAATTAAAAGTAAAAAGGTTGTTTCAGCTAAGATATGTAATATTAAACTTGGAAAAATGGTGTTGACCAGACTATGGTATCTGACAAAAAAATTAGACACAACAAAATAGTTTTTTGCCACAAGGTAATCATTTACCAACACACCTTTCTCAAGTTTCTTCCTGCGATCAAACAACCGACTTGCTTCCACAATAGTCCAATTGCCTGTATTGTGTCTGTCTTGTGATGCCATCTCCAGGCGAGTTTCTCCACCGTACCCCACTCGGAAAAGTACTTTACCATTGCGCAGTGTCAGCGACACATACCTGTCCTAAAACATTATGTTAGGTGCAGAAAAATCACAATAAAGGTGTTGTGATATATTTTAATGTGAATGAGTGTTTCTATATAATTAGTAGTATCATTTACTATTAGTTGTCTTTGTAGTTCAGAATTAAGGAACTTCCATACCTATAAAGCCCAAACTAGGAACCACACATTAGCTATGTAAATGGACATTGCAGAACATTTGGTTAATTATTTTTAAAATTACATCTCATTTACCAACATCTATCAGCATTGTATATGAAGTCTTGTATTAGTTGTATTAACCGTTTAAAAGATAAAAATGTGAATATATCTCATTTTGAAAAGAAAAACTTATAATATCTACTTTCTTTTAAATGCCTTTATATACATAGTGAGAATAATAATGTAAATTAATAATTATGAAATTTAGCAATTCACAAATAGCATAGGTTCTACTAGAACAGATTCAAACTCTGCTCAACTTTTCAGATTTAACCTAAATGTTTTACTATGTCACCATGTTTGTACCTGTTAACACAGAAAATGACTTCGACAATTTGTGGGCATGTTTATTATATATGCATTTGTATGGAAAAATTTGGTTATAGTGTTTCCAGCAATGTTAGAAACACTGAAATATATTAGGATAACTATATTATAATATATTAAAGAGAAACAATGTTATGCAGAAAAGAGAATGTACTCTGCAGCAGGGCCACTTGCTGATGCATGTGAACTTACAGTGACATTTGGATTCACAGCAAGGAAGAGAAGGGCATTTTCATCCAGAGTTCGGAATTTAAGAGAGACGCTGAAGGCATATTTGTTGTAGGGACCAGAGCTGGGGCGATGCAGTACTGCATAGCCTTCACCATTGAATCGAAATGTTAATTCATCTTTAGTCTGCTCTCCACTGCAACACAAAACAAGAGGTGCTCAAATTTGCAAAATGTTTTTATAAACTGTAGGCTACATTGGGTCAAGTACTCTTAAGACTATGATCACTGGTAGAACACACAAATATGTACAATTGAGATTTATGCAGGAAACGCAATTACATAATTCAATATACTACACCTATTTACACAAATTTCTTTTCCTGCAAATCGTAACAAACATCCTGACCCTGTACATAATTTTGAAATCTATTACCATCATACTACATTCTAATATGCAATGCCAGGTGCAACTTAGAGCCTTACATCAAGATACTAAAAACATATATGGCAATTCAGTAGTAGACAGATAACTGGTAGTGGCAACCTTAAAACTTTCCGACCAAAAATATAACAGAAAATTGAGTTCCTCTTCATTTGTCCCAGAATGACATAAAGCAAATAAGTTCTAGTTAGGTATGTGTGAACTATAAGAAATTGTTTTTAATTAAATTAAATCTAAACAGCCAAATTCAAGCAAAATGAAAAGCCTGACAAATTAAATCCTTATTATTATGTCATTACCTTAAAAACCACAAGCTATAGCTGCCAAGAATCAGTTTTTTTGCTATGACTTACCGGTTTCACAAATGTCATACTTTCACAATACTACTGTTGATATTATGTGCATTTTGTCTCATTTACATAAATTGATACATAAATTATTATAAGAAAGACTGCCAATTTAAGTTGCTGTCATTTCAGGCCATCACAATTTATATGAGTCTCATCCAAAGGCTATATACAGTAAATATGCACATATAATAGAAGGAAACAAATGTGAAACAGGCATGCAATATATGCAGAATAATATCCAGTATAGTGTCTAATTGTAAAAGTTAAGAACTACAAACATATTAGCAGGTGCTGACCTCTGTATGCAGGCAGCACATCCAGCAAAACCCTGGGAAGCAAAGTTCCACAGTCCAATCACATGTCCATCTAACACCACTCTTTGCAAACATCCTGCAAGCCCCATACTTTTGGTCTTCAAAAGTGGTGGTCCAGGTGTTGATACTGGGGGCAATCCTCCTATCCACAATACATCTCCAGGTCCCACATCTAATCTGCCAAAACCAGCTGTGGAAGAATTTTTCACTGGAGTACCACTTTCAAGAGAAGAGCCCTCGGGCAGGACATGTGGTTTGACTGAAAGTTTTGCTATGTTGCTTTTCCTGAAAAGAAAAACATCTTAATTTAAATCTGATTGATTCTTAGGTTATATAATGGAATTATTTTGATTGAAGAGGTTTTGTAATGTCACATGGCAAGAAGAGAAGTTTATAAAGAAGGAAAAAAGTACAGTATTACCAGTCATATTCCACCAAATTATTTTACTTTAACTTTAGAATATACCATTTTTTTATGAATGTAAAGCATGGCCTTCTAATACATTATACTGAATTTAAAGAATTAAAAACACATTTAGAGATTGTCACTTAGCATAAATACTACAGCAAAATATTAGGATTACATATTTCTTGCTTTGAGCTACATATGAATGGAACAAAATCATCAACAGAAGATTAATTAAGGCACATTAAAATATTCTGGAATGATATTAACAAATTAAAATTGCTTTCATGAGGAAACTGAGACCAGACTAAATTCAGGGAATGCTTGCTACCATGCAGTTCACAGTCTTCTGTCTTCCCATCTGCTATCTAAAATCCTAAAGATTAAAATATATATAACTACAAATTTACCTGTTGGTTTTGTATGGGTGTGAAATATGGTCTCTCACATTATGGTAAGAACACATATTCAAGGTGTATGAGAACAGGGAGCTTTGGAAAATATTTGGAGTTAAGAGGAATGTAGAGACAGGAGGCTGAAAGAACTGCACATTGAGAAGCTCCATAATTTATGCTGTGCAACAGATATTATTAAGGTGATAAAATCAAGGAGGATGAGATGGGTGGGGAATCTAACATACATGGGAGGAATTAGGGTTCTGAAAAGTGGCCTGGAACATATGAAATTTAATATACCACTGCCACATAACTAACCTGTCTATCTGAATATTATACCAGTTTCTTTCCTCAGCTGACTTTCCAGGCTCAAGTTTAAGGGGGTGTTGTACTTCTCCTGCGCCACCCCCAACATCCCATAAAAAGCGAACGTGCTGAGCAACCATTTCCACTGCAATGAAGTCTTCCTAGAAAAACAAGAAACGCTATTCAATTCACACAGTACTGCAGACACTAAATGAAATTATAAGAAGTTATACAAATGTAATTCTCTCTTTATATAAAACACTGTGCAGCAATATTACATATTCTCTTTAAATTGTAATCTAAAATTATTTGGATCATAACAGCAAACAAGGGCTTCAATGTATTTAGTGAAAATAAAATCTCCTCTGTCCTCAAATGATTTAGCTATATTGAAGTCCTCCAATGTTGATTAGGTTAATATTACACAAAAACTTAATCTCTATGGTTCTAACCTGTTTCAATCTCTTTTAGTCTGTACAAATTTCTGGTCAGTGTGTCAAAATAGTAAATAAGTATGTTTTGGTGTAGCATACCTTAACATTCTCTAAAATTATCCAATTCCAAGTTATATAGCAGTGTAGTAGTATTTACCAAATATAAATAATGTTGAATTAAAATATTAGTTTAAAATAGTTTTAACCTTTATCAGTCATGTGTCATGGCTTACATGCAGTCAACCTGGCCATGTGCTGCAGTACCATTCTAAAAAATCATTAACCTTACAGTTAAAGTCTGGCCAGCAGCCCTGTAGTATGGGGTTTAAGCCTCATATTTCCATATGATGACGGTTGTTCTGAAACACTTTCTACAAAACAATCTCACTTGTTTATTCTTTTTAATTTTATTTATGGAAGAATGCAATTGAAATTCTTTGTGAATCTTAATGTTACGAGTCTTCCACTCATTAACAACCTGTGGACCATATGTAGAAATCTACTGGGTCATGGTTTGCTCACTACTGATGAGAATTGTGATATTTCATTCAAAATTTCTGAACTTTTTGCACATTATTTTGTGTATTTTATTTTATTTATTTACTTCACTGACACTTAATTTTTTAAATTGTCATGAAAAATAGAAGCATACCAGCCACACTGAATATAGGTATAATATGTCACTTTATAATGCAACCTGATAGTCTATTGTAGGCAGACATGATATGTGTTATTGAAGAATATAATTTATTTTTTGTTGTAAAAGAGCAAGAAAATGGTAATGGTGAAAACCTTTATGGTCATGTTTGCAAAATAAATTTAAAATATCATTTATTAGAGTGCTTCTCACACTATTTACCTATTAACAGTGTATGAATGTTTTACATAGAATGTCAAAGAATCAATCAGCATGCACCCTGTTAAATGCTTACAGTGGTGCTGCTGGGAAGATACAGAATTAATGCATCTTTCTGGTTTGCACCACTGTCCAGTGCATAATCTATGACAAGCAATGTTGTAGTGCTGGGCTCCAGGTTGCTTGGACGAAATGATCGTACACAGCCTTCACTCACATTCACACGACTTGTTATAGACAGATGTATCTGCAAAATAAATTATGAATATTTACTTATTATGATAATTTAATACAGTAAGCCTCTAAGCTTTACTCTCTCAATTGTATCAGGGGTTACCATCTTTCAAGATTGGAGCCATACTCACCCTTTCATGTCAACTTGTCGACCGCCAAGTTATAAATGAAAACAATTTATTGAAACTTTATGGGAATTTATTACGAATGCTATGCAAGCAGCATAATACAATACTCATTTATTTTTTTAAACAACTTTCTAGATTTGTTACTTTTATTAAGTAACCACTAAAAATTATGCAAATATTTAACTTAGGTGGTAGCTTTTTCATTGTGCAGTGTGATACAATATTCTAAAAATGTATATAGGCTGCACAAAACACAAAGACAGGCTGAAGACTGAGAACCCCTAGACTGTATTATTTATTTTTATGTTGCATTCATGTGTTTGGAGTATAGGATCACTTTCTCTAAAATCAGATATAACTGATATAAGACCAATATTGATATTTTTATGTTACACTGATTGCAATGGGCTGTCCACATAGTAATTCTGTAATCATATTGTAATAATAAGTTAGGTCTGTGAAAGTACAAATGTGTGTTTGGTACATACTCCATTAGCAGCATGACGTGCTTGAGTAATTTTATTGCGCAGTTCCTGTAGACGTGCTGCCATAGTATCATTCCACTGCTGGAATTTACGATTCCTCTCAACAGCGTCTTCTGACAGTCTAGACAGAAGAGCCTCAGACTTCTGAATATTTTCCTGTGATGATGTTACTGCAACAGTTTCATTAATATTATCCCTTCACAATCTGGAATTTCTATTTTAGAGTATGTTCAATGGTGAATCATAAGAATTAAAAAATATACTAAAATGATTATCCTTGCTTTACTGCTTTTGGGAATGTGGTAACCTAAAGAACAGATGCTGGCCCCAACATACCAACAATATAAAGTTTGATATCTGACCACATTCAAAGCTGTTGTCAACCCCCACATCTGATAAGGTTAAAATTTATTTAACAGCAACCACAGTGCTTCATCATCAACTTAAACTGTAAGTCCACTCTTTTAACAATCATGCTGCCTGTTAATTATGAACTGTGCATTTATAGTAGTTTGCAGAATTATTGCAATGTGGAAAAACTAGACTTATGTGTTAACAATAAAAATTATTTTTGTATAGTAAGTCCTGCCACAAATATACTCCATAGATAAGTAGATCATTGCACTATAGAATTCATAATGATTTCATATCAGAAGCTCCCAGAATTTATTACGAATGCTATGCAAGCAGCATAATACAATACTCATTTATTTTTTTAAACAACTTTCTAGATTTGTTACTTTTATTAAGTAACCACTAAAAATTATGCAAATATTTAACTTAGGTGGTAGCTTTTTCATTGTGCAGTGTGATACAATATTCTAAAAATGTATATAGGCTGCACAAAACACAAAGACAGGCTGAAGACTGAGAACCCCTAGACTGTATTATTTATTTTTATGTTGCATTCATGTGTTTGGAGTATAGGATCACTTTCTCTAAAATCAGATATAACTGATATAAGACCAATATTGATATTTTTATGTTACACTGATTGCAATGGGCTGTCCACATAGTAATTCTGTAATCATATTGTAATAATAAGTTAGGTCTGTGAAAGTACAAATGTGTGTTTGGTACATACTCCATTAGCAGCATGACGTGCTTGAGTAATTTTATTGCGCAGTTCCTGTAGACGTGCTGCCATAGTATCATTCCACTGCTGGAATTTACGATTCCTCTCAACAGCGTCTTCTGACAGTCTAGACAGAAGAGCCTCAGACTTCTGAATATTTTCCTGTGATGATGTTACTGCAACAGTTTCATTAATATTATCCCTTCACAATCTGGAATTTCTATTTTAGAGTATGTTCAATGGTGAATCATAAGAATTAAAAAATATACTAAAATGATTATCCTTGCTTTACTGCTTTTGGGAATGTGGTAACCTAAAGAACAGATGCTGGCCCCAACATACCAACAATATAAAGTTTGATATCTGACCACATTCAAAGCTGTTGTCAACCCCCACATCTGATAAGGTTAAAATTTATTTAACAGCAACCACAGTGCTTCATCATCAACTTAAACTGTAAGTCCACTCTTTTAACAATCATGCTGCCTGTTAATTATGAACTGTGCATTTATAGTAGTTTGCAGAATTATTGCAATGTGGAAAAACTAGACTTATGTGTTAACAATAAAAATTATTTTTGTATAGTAAGTCCTGCCACAAATATACTCCATAGATAAGTAGATCATTGCACTATAGAATTCATAATGATTTCATATCAGAAGCTCCCATTTTTCCTGTAAACTGAATGGAAAGTTTTCTAGATAAAATGCAGTGACAAACTTACTGTGATTTATGACAGCATTCACTTGGAAATCTGAGCTCAGTTGTTCTAGACGAGGGCGTAGTTCATTCTTCACATTGCTGCTGATCATATCAGCTTTCACCTGAACTTCATCCATAGAATCACTGATCTTCTCAGCCTTTTGAAGTACATTCTGTATTGCTAATTGTGCTGAAATTGTTAACGAATAACTAACATTACAGTTTATAATTCTGATGGCTACTGATATAAAATAAATTTCCAGGATCAAATTACTTCTCCTATTTACTTAAAAATTAAAAAGATGGCACCATATCAGTAAAACAAAATTTTCACAATTTTAATGGGACTGAGAATAAAAATATATTAAAACAACCCCAACATGAATATATTTATTTAATAAAGCTAAAATTGGAACAGTAAGAACACTGAAATAATATATCATACTGTACTAGGACACATTTACAATGAATATGTCTTAAAATGTTATTTGCCCAAGTAAGTTTACACCTCATTTCACTACTTCAGTCTTTCATTATCAGTATTTAAGTAAATAGTGTTTTTGTCACTTGCTGACTTAACAACACCAGTACAAAATGTGTGAGACAAAACACCTAGTTAAATTTCCCTCACACAATATATAGAGCTAGCTTTACCCTCTTTGTTATCCAATTTCTGCAACTGATGAGAAATATTATTGTCAGCTTTTGCAGCTTTAGCCAGGGTATCTCTAACATTCTTCACTTCCTCTTTATGTTCCTCCAAATTCATCTTCAACTCTTCTACATGATCAGCCTTCTGTTCTGCATGACTCAACAGCCTTGTAGAATTAGTCAATATAATGCTTGCCCGATCAACCAGCGAGTCCTGAACTACACTTGGATGTGCCTGGAAACAGATAAAATGTTTGAAGGATAAAACATGGTAACATGGAACAGAGAGAATAAAACCAAGATCAGAGAGAAATAAAAATCAGCTTTAAATTATACAGAGTCACGGAACACACAAAGGCAATAGACATTTGATTGATGTAAGTACAATAATCCCACCACATTCTGTCAATTCTCTTTTATAACATACATATATAAATGCATATAACCAATTTATATATAATTTATTTAGCACTAGTGTTTCTTCAATCAGCTGTCCAAAAAGGATAAGAACATCAACTAAACTGTTTAGAGGTTACAAGGTTTGCACTCATCACTTTTGGAATATGTGACAACCTGAAATATTAAATTACAGTTATTACCTAATGAAGATAATTTGCTGAAGTTCTGCCTACACAGAACTAACTGGACACTTTGTAATCAAAATATATCATAATAATGAGTCACGCAGTGATTGATAATAAACTAACCTCATTAACTAATCTGTGAAGTATACAAGAAAATATGAGTACAAAAGTACACATAATTGACATGTCTGTACATCATATTCCATATCTCCTGGACATAACTCTGAACAAAAAAACTGTATAAGACAACAATGTTTCTTCTAGTGATAACAATCCAGGAAGAATAATGCAGAATCATAAGGACTACTGAAAACTAAAACTGGAGGACAACTAGGGACTGCCCTGGTGCTGTAAACATGCAATAAAACATTGTCAAGGTTGCTATAGAAGACTGTGCTGAAGTCAAAATCATTATGAACTATAAAAAGGAAAAATATGATGTAAAGTGATTGTGGTTTGTTTGAAAATAATATCCTAGCATCTGCATGATGGTACTGTGCAAATAATACATCTGAACTACCTAGTTTCATATTAATTTCACTAATGTGGAGTAGACAGTACAGGAAGCATTATGGTCTAAACTTAAAACAAATTATGTTCTAAATTTCTCACCTTTCTGTATGCTATGTCAGCTGCACTGGAAGCATTGACAGCAGCATTTCTGGCACCCTTTAGAGCATCTACAATTTCTTGATATGCTTTGCTTGCTCGCAGAGCAAAATCTGCATCACGTTGGGTAGCATTGAACAAACTGTAGAAGCCAATAGATTATCTATTTATTTTATACTTACATACAAAAAAAAAAATTGTTTCAGCATAGATGACTTTTAGAAATGTTTGTTTTGTATTAATAGAAAAATAAACTAACAGTTTGTCTAAAATCCTAGTAATTTTGCAAGGTATGCTACACAGCACAACATGGAAGATCAGCTGTAGATTTCTGATTCTATTTTCAAGTATTACAAAGGTATATTTTGGTGTAAGATTTGAGGTTTTCACAACGGTGAATATGAAGATTTCTGTCTTCTGGGTTGTTGCGCTGTGTAGTCTGGTTGATGTTAACTAACGTTTCAGAGGTCATACTGCCTCCGTCATCAGCAGGGCAGGCGACTTTCGAGGATCCAGCCACATCAGAACCCTGAAGATGGTGACAGAGTTTGTTCCCGAAACGTCGGTTTACTACAGTAACCAGTTTTAACCCGGCTGATTGCCCGAGAAGATTTTATTGATTGTACTCGCCGTGAAAGTCTCAAATCCTGAATAATATTTTCACTTTACAAAAAGGAAATAAAAAATCAGACAATTTTATCATAAAACAAGTTATGCAAGAGCACAGACTGTGTAAGTAAATATAGCAATAAAAAAACAGAAGAAGTTAATGCAGCAAAAGGTGTTTACATTCAACTACAGTGAGACTTACTCTCTGTAATGCTGCACCCTGTTGTAAAGCTTGTTGGCATGCATCTGAGCCCTCAGCACATACTTCTCCCTGTAAATAGGGTTCAGGTGGTCTAGGATTCCTTCCCTCTTCTCCAGTTCTGAGATTAAATCTGTCAAATTCTTTGCCATTGCTTCAAAATTCTGTTGGAAATAACTATACATGAGCTAACATAAATCCATTCAGTTCAGTTTTGTGAGATAAGAGCCACACCTTTTAAGAAATATTGTTCTAACATTACAGAAATGTGACATGACAAAACAACTTAAAAACTCTAGAATCAAACTCAAATTTGACAAAAGATCTACAACGTATGCAACAGAGGCAACATGTGCATTTGTTTAACAGTCATAGTAAGTAGTCAAGAAGTTCAGGAATTTACATTATAATGTAATTTTGGTGTGTCGTGGTGGAAAACTTGATTCAGAGTTCTACATCTCTTATTCTTGTGTTCATTATGAATTGAATTATTATCCCAAAATTATTTAATAAAAGTAGATATTCTATTATAAATCTGTGGTGTATTTAATGATGCTGTCAGAAGCTAAGACTATATAGTGTCAAATGATAAGGTGATTAATGAATTCAAAAAAATATAAAAGGAGTGGTTATGGCCTAATTTAAGTTACTATCCTGGTGTTTGTGTAGAGAGACTTAGTACAACCACATAAAATCTGTCAGGACAGCTGGTCTCCATACCATGACTTGAACCCTGGATATCGTAAATATGAAGCAGAAATGCTAATCACTTGGTCACAATGTGTTGGTCATAAAAGAAAATAAAGACATCTGTGTTTAGTATAGTGAATTAAACATACAAGAAAACAAATGTTTCTAATCTTGAAAGACATCACTGAAACCATGACTCACTTGAATGTTGTTGAGTGACATATTAAGTAGCTGCCTTGATTCTTTGTTGAAATTCTCTCCTTCTGCATATACAGCTCTTTGTTCTGACTCCATAGCTTCTATTCTCTTCAGATAGTTTCTCACTACATTCAGCCCATTCTCATTTCTGGAAGACATCTCAGAGGTCTGTAATGATGTTCACAATGAAATTAATACACTAAAGACAAAAATAATTTTTTTAATCTAGTTCAGAAATTGAATAAAAATTTTCTTGGATATTATCCATCGTCTAGTGAATATAAAACGTAAAACGACGTTTCGGAGATGGGACTCTATCTCAGTCTTCAGGTTAATGGATAATATCCAAGAAAATTTTTATTCAATTGACTCTTCACCATCGTCAAGAAGTTTTAGATCTGATATAGTTCAGAAACTTTAATCAACCCTGTTTCAAACACTAGGTCCTTTTCAAGCCTTCTAAATTATTCTTCCTACAGTCTTTCCCAACTACTTGTCCTCATTAACCTAACCTTTGTCATATCTAATGTCCCTTGCCACATGTAACATACTAAAACTAATGTACAAATGGCATTTAAACTGCCTGGTCTGACAGCAAGTTAAAACCTTCAGGCTTCAGTTAATATATCAAAATGTACTTGTAACCCAATTTTGGGTCACAACCCAAGATCTAAGAACTTCTGCTCTAAGAAAAAAACACAGATTAAAGGCATTTGGGAAGAGAGGGCTGAGAAAAATATTTTCTGCTAATAAACAGTAACGGGTTTGAGAAAACTTCATAATGCAAACATTATTAAGGTTGAAAATTAAGGTGAATAGGGCAGGGCATGCTACGTGCATAGGAGATGAGAAAATAGTAATAAACTTTATTTAAACTGTATGAAAGAAACAAACCACCTGGGGATACTCTTTTGAACACACACCACCAGTCAAAAAATTCTGTTCCCCAGCCAGAACTAACAATATACATATTACAGTTTATTGAGCAAAGTCACAGATAAATGTTCTGCTTGAGAGTAGCCCTTTGAACTGTATTTTCAAACACACAGAAAAATTATATAGGCTACTAGTATACATGGTAGCTAATAACAGTCTACCATCAAATCTCACAAGTCTTGTAAATAAGAAGGAGCAATATAAGGTAGCATTAAAAAGATACTTAATTACACACTCCTTTTACTCTGTCAATGAATGTATGTTGTTTACAAATAAGTGATAAAGTTTTCTTGTGTGTAATGGGTAGATCTACTTGTAGCTTATCATTTCTCTAAGTGAATACTTTGTTTTGTATTATGTGAAATTTATATAATAGTACGAATTGTACTTTATAATATGTATTGTATTATTATTATTATTATTATTTTTATTATTATGACTTTTTCCACATCCTATCGTCATCTGACTGTCTTATGGATCCATGGAATGTAAAGAAATTATTATTATTATTATAAGTTGTTTTACCATGATTGTATCCCCCACATTAACAAAAGATTAATTTTTATCACATTACATGACCAATAAAATATAAATAATTTATTAAAAACAATTTTTAATGGCTATCACAGTTTACAATAAGTGTTAAACACCTGGAACCTGTTTTGGTAAAGTAATTTCAAGCCACTCTGTATTTTTCATTTCTGTGCATTTAGTTCATAAAAATACTAGATAATACTATACTAAATTGTTACCATAGCCAAAGCAAATTATATTGCAAGCATTAGATAGTTCTGCTTACTCATATTCACAAGGAAACTAGGACATATTTATTTTAATGTACTGTACCTTATTCTGTTTATTAACACTCTTGGAAATTACATCATTTAGGTCACTTAATTGATCATCTAAGATGCTTAGCCGCTTTTGTAGTCCTTCATACTTGACCAGCCCATGTAGCAGATTCTGTATTCGGTTCAGTAAATCTGTACATAACCTACCAAACATACAAAAGAAAACATCAAAACTGCCTGAGCCCTTGTGATCAGACCACTCTGATTATTTTTTGTATGTTGTCATTATATAAAATGTTCTCTTTCAAGGACTAAGTTAAGGAACATGTACTTATCAATTTACTTCATACTAGCAAGGTGTAAAGCATAAGCTATACATATTTCCTTTATAGTGATGTTGAAAATGACTGCTGCACCATGACAATGCTAAATCCCATTCAGCATATGAGTTTCTTATCAAGAAAGGTATTGCTCTACTTCCTCAACCTTCTTATTGTTTATGTCTAGCTCTTGGTGATTACTGTCTGCTTCCAGGAATGAAAACTCTATAGAAGAGAAACAGGTTCTAATCAATGTATAATTTTGGCTTTCCGGCATGAGCTATGTCAAATGTTGAAAGCTGAATGTTCAAGGCCCTAATCACCATAAAGTAAAACCTGCCACCATGACAACAATAGCTTGCAAATCTCTTGAATTTACAAAGTATTTCTGTTAAACATGTATTCATGCTACTCCATCACAAGCAATACAGTAAATATTCCCCCCTTTTAATTTCTCCTGGCAACTATTTTACATACTTAAGTGAATGGTTTGCAGCCTTGTTACGCAGATGTAAATTCCTTTCTTTTATTTTATGCAGGAGATGAATAGCTTCACGTAATGCTTGACCAACACTCACTATCCCTGCGGGGCCTGCCTGTCCATAATTTGTAAGTCTCATCACAACATCTGTAAGAATGCCAAGACAAGAAAATGGGTCACTTTGAATCTTGCTGCTAAATTGAGAAGTTCAAAATTATGTTTTTAACAAAAATTTATCTTGCAATATCAATCCAAGAATCTTTAAAAAGCATTATATACTCATTTAAAATATGACAATTCAGAACAACTATAATGAGGTCCTGACAAAAGAAATTGACATCCTGTGCCCTAAACTTTGAATATTTCTTATCATTCTTAAAAATAATTATTATATAAAAACCTCATTCTGAATGCAGTTTTGATATGAATCATATAGCTCATTCTCATTATAATGTAAGATAACATTTCTAATAAGAAAACATGTAGATACTGAGAATAATCAGCACATTTTTTTGTACAGATATTAAAGTGTTACAAGTCTGGAATATTACAAACTAAGGCAGACAGTGGATTTTATGAAACAATGATCTTTATTTTTTCATTTAATATTGGTATATTTATCAGCTGAGCTGTACAGTGATACAGCTTCTGTTGTATAACACTGCTCTACACACCATCAATTTCTTCACGTAGTGCCGATATCTCCCTACTGAGTGTGTCAGCCTTTTCTTGAATGGACCAACCATCTTGCTCCACTTGTTTACCACGACCTTCCAGTCGACGCGACTGAATAAGAAATTTAAGCATTCTTATTAATTACTTATAATGTGAGGTCTGTCAATTAAATAACCAGACTGATGTTTTTGTGCCACAACTGTCAACACTGGAGCATGCTGGATCACATGGCTACATGTTTTAGAAGTTTCATAACAGTCACTGAGATTCAATTTATTTTGTGCTTTCAACATATCTTTTATTGATGAAGAATTTTGTATGTCAAAATCATAAATATAAAGTACATTTTCTCAGACTTATCATATTGACTGTTAGAATAATATGACCTTTTGGAGAAAATAGTAGAATGGTGTTGGGATTTTGGTTTTTAAGTACAACTCAGAAACAAAATATCAGTCTCCAATGGAAAAGACTGAAGTCCCCAACAGAAAAAGAGTGTAAATGTCAAAATCAAATGCCAAACATGCTGAAACTTCGTTCTGATATCAATGAAATTACCCATTATGAATTTGTTCTCCAAAACAGTCAACAAACATTCTTTATTGTCACGCATTTGTCATAAAAGTTGAAATCTTTGGCCAGACAAGTGGATTTTGCATAATGACAATGCATATTCCAACACTGCACTTTCAGCGAAGTAATTCTTGGCCAAGTAACAAATACCCATAATAGAACATCTACTTTACTAGGCTGATTTGGCCCCATGTAATACTTTCATGTTCCTGAAATTAAAAATTTCTTTATAGGCTTAATTTCAAATAACTTGAAGACAGAAATGAAAAAAGTGTGGAATATGCATTTGAATGTATATATAAACTCCAGAGGCAAGTATGTTGATGGTGCCATAATCACTAAAGACTAGTGACAAAAATACTGTGTATAATTTTATCAGTCCAGTTCTTTAATTTTAGGACAGTATCAATTTAACAGTGTGTATGTGGTGTAAACATAAAGTAATTGGTTGTGGACACCTGAATATCTACAAAACTTTCTGAAAAAAATAAATTTTTGTGTATGGATCAAAATGTGCTACTTTCAAACTTCCTCATCTCCCACAGCAGGTTTATATTTGACATTAGCACAAATGAATTACCCAACAAAACATAATGTAAAAGTACATTAGTCTAGCACCATGTATTCACACTGGTCTTCAGATACTAACCTTGTCCAGCAACTGTTGAGCTTGCCACTTTAATTTATCACTAATATCATCAGGTATCAGTGCTACTCTTTCAGCTATATCAAGCCAGTTTTTAAGTTCAATTGCTGTGTTGTTCATTGCTTGCAACTGTGGCCAAGGAGGAGGTATAATCCCTCCAAACAAATGACCAGCCCCTTCCTGCAGCTGTTTATCTAAGAGAGCAAGCTCATCCAGAAGGACACCAGTGCAACCATCATCACATGCTGAAATTCAAAACTGTATGCTTGAATACACTTTCCTCTCTTAAATCATCATTACATGGTATTGAGGATTTAAACCCCCATACTATAAGGCTGTTAGCTGGAAGTTAACTCCAGAGTCAACAGTAGAATGGTACGCTAGTGTGACACATGGTCAAATGGATCATGAGTAAGACATATCATATGGTCAATACAGGTTAATATTTCTTACCACTAAATGTATATACATTCATAATATTGTCACAGTAAAGGTATGAAATGTCACTATTTCAGTACAGGTCACTGTTATAAAACTTGGGTGAAAAATGGGCACTTTAGCCTATTCTGAAATTTAATCTACTTCCAAGTAATATATCTGCAAAAATGTAGTATAATTTCCATGCTCTTAGCCAGTTACTACAAAAATACAATACTCACTTGTACAGCCATGCTGTGTGAGGATGAAACGATCTGTGCTACACTCACTACAGTCCCTGCCTATAATTCCAGGACGACAGTTGCACTGTCCAGTCTCTTCATGACACTCATCACTCACACTGCCATGATGGTTACAGTTACAAGGTTTGCAAGATCCACCCTCAAGCTGTGGGAAACCAAACCACCCATAGCTGCACCTGTTTTTAACAGCAAATAACTGTGGATATTCAAAACAGAAGACAGATGCCATTTCAAATTCATTACATTACTCAGCATTATCTAGATAGTACGTCTTAACCCAATCACCTCTGACTTGAATGTCCCTCTATATACATAGAAATATGGCTGAGTGCCCTTTCCTTACACATTCTAAGTAATAAAATGGCTTCACATGTTCATGAGGCAGCATTAGAAGAAGGAGTCCTTGAAGTCATGTGTATCTGCTGTTCATAAATGCATAGTTGGAAGTCATTTATAAATGACTGAATGAAATGGAAGCACATATATGGAAATATCAGAGAAACAGTCAAGCAACTTTGGTGATTGCCAAATATGTATTTTGTACAGTTTTAGATTGTCTCTTCTGGAGAATGGTTCACTCGTAAACTGGAATCTCCATGGGTAGGGACTGTTACCTACTTAATATTGCCTTACAACTATACCAACTTGAAGCAATGAGTCACATGAAAATGAAACTGAACAAAACCTCAATTTCACGTTACATAAAAGCGAACTTTGACCTTTTCAATTATTTTTATATACCAAGACACAGCACATATACTGAAGGGGTTTTACCTGTCACATCTTTTGCCAGTATAACCCTCTTTGCACTGACAATTAACATGGCCCTTTGATGACACACGGCAGCTGCGTGCAAAGTTACGCTCTGTTGTAGGACAAGGACATGGTTTACAAGGCCCTCGTGCAGGGTCTCCATAGTAGCCCTCCCCACACCTCTCACAATGGGGCCCACCTGTATTGCCTGCACAATTCTGCAATTAGAAGTAAAGTAAGGATGTAAGTTATGAGCACTTTTCTACCAATTACCAATTACAGTATTCATAAGGAATACAAATAGCAACAGCATAGCAAAACTTGCAAGGCTGTGAGAAACAAATATTTGTACCCTTTTAAGAACTATGTATTGTTCTTACGCTTCACAATTTGTAAACTTTTGCAAACACTGCTTATCTTTCTTCTGGGAAGTGGGGGGCAGATGCTCACAAAGATGTGGCATTGGAAAATTTTTAAAGAAAATGAGCAGGAAATTCATGAATATGGAGGGATGACTGCACAGAACATCTACGATGAACAAAATATTTTCTCACCACTTTGAGGCTAGACAGTAGACTAGGCTCTGGAGTAAATCTTTCACCTGCATCCCATCTCCCTTTTCTTCAGATCCTATCATTAGAAGGTTATGTATATATGTAATACAAAACAGGTTTCTCCAGACAGAACAACACAGCTGACATTTACATGTAAGTGATGTAAAACCATTATTCAAAGATAAGAACACATACTGATGGTATATGAGAACATAATACTGAGGAAAATATTTGGATCTGAGAGGGATGAAGTGACTGAAGAAAACTGCATCATGAATAACTTCATAATTAGAATTTGCAGAATATTCAAGATGTGATTTATTACAAGTTATATTTGTATGCCAGCATGTGTACTACTGCCCCATTGTGAAACAACCAAGAGAGAACACTGCTTTACACACATTACACAAACGTGTACGACAAAGGTTCAAATACATCTGTTATCACTTGAAAATAGAAAAATAATCATACCCAAGAACTTTACAATTAAAAATAAAAGCAGCTCTTAAAAATTCAGATAACTATAAATACGCATGCAATCTGTCTGTAGTCAAGCTTGCTCAACTAAACTTTTAAACTTACCAGACAATATCCAGTCTCAATGTTACACACTCTGGAACGCTGATTGCATTGACAAGGTCTTGCTTCACCAACCAGCTGAATCACAATAGTTGAGCTGATAGAATTATTGTCATACCAGCGGTAGAAACCAATGCTTGGATCTTGGCAAGAGCTGGAATTGTACTGGGGAGGGCAGTCACATAACTCAACACCTCGAGCAAGGGGTGGTGGCCTACCAGGAGCCAGTATTCCTGTGTCTAGCGACACATCACGCAATCTGCACAATATACATTACAACTGTTTTTCATTAAGTACTTTTTCCATCCTAATCCATCTAAACTCATGAAAAATGAAAAATTTGATTTCAAAGTTACTTTTATGCAGAATATGATGAAACCTAGGACACACATAAATAGAAACTAACAGTAACACTTTCAGGTCGAGCACAAAGTTTGTATCTAAAAGTAAAGAAGTGTATATATAAAAACATTACAAGTTTCAATAAAATCCTTTGCCTTCTTCTTGTTTCTCAGGGTTCTCGATTCCATGGCCCATTGCAACTGATTATAAACATAAGCACACACATGTAGCATGGGACTCACATGTACAACCAAGGATATACTCAAGATATAATACATAGAGCTTCAGTAAATATAAACCTTAGAATTAAATAAGACTAGTATCTCTACCTACACTGCCCTTGTAAAGTCAACAGAATCGGAAGCCCGAATTAAGATGTGTTGTACATTCTGCAGTGCCACCATCAACATTTCTCGTGTCACTTTGTCACCACTACCAGGTACAGTAGGACTTTTCTGGCGCCAGAGAGATTCATGTAATCTAGAAAAAGAAAGTTTAATAGTATGAAAAAATGAAAGTATAGCCATCTAATTAGGATTAGAGGTTTTCACAGCAGTGATTCTTAAGATGGCTGTCTTCTGGGCTAGAGAGCCTTGTAGTATGGTAGAAGTTTGCCATCGTTTCAGAAGTCCATGCTGCCTCATCATCAGTGTGCTCAATGCCCTAATAACTACATGGTGCTACAGCCCAAAATACAGCCATTTTTCAACCATCTAATTGTTTATGCTTTAACATAAATGTGTGAAAAATGAAATCTTGTCCACATTGTTACAACTTATGTATCTAAGATCCATTTTAATATTATATTTCTATCTATGCCTAGGTTTCTGAAGTTGTTTATTCCCTTCCCTTCAAGTTTTCTAATTAAAATCTCTCAACTCATCTCCTCTGTACACACTACATCCTCTTAGGATATATCACCCTAATAATATTTACTATTTTCCAATCCAAGTTTAAAACACTGAGTAATATTTTGTATGTTTCTAGGGTGTGTTACCAGCTCCACCCAGCCCCTGATACAATAATAAGAAAATCAAAATCAGTTATCTAGGTGGCAGTCTCCACAATAGAAGAACAATTATTAAAAGACATTTTTGGTGTCTGAAGATGTAACACGTATATTTTCTCTTAACTCATTCTCACCTGACTTGGTAATGACCTGCAGAGCTGGGAATGAGAGGATAATGCTCTAAAACAAGTTGCCCATTGCCTTGCAGCTGCACAAGAGGATATGTGGCCAGAATACTAACAGGGAGCAATGTATGGCCCCCTTCAGTCTCCACTCTGAATCTTAGGTAGCCACCATATGACAATACCTGTACAGTAAACAATCACCTCAGAATTAATAGACAAAATTGATAGCTTGTAGTTTCTTACGGTAGTCTATAATTGGACAGAAAAATAATAATTTCTTTGTGTGTGCACTGAAGGAACAGTTTTGTTGTAATGTTTTAGCCATCAACCTAATAAATACAAATATAATTTTATCACAACAAAGTTACTGCTGTAATTTGAAGTAGCAACAATTTATAATGTACAAATGTATTAACTTTCACACATTAAGACCATGCATTTATGAGTAAGGTATGCAGCATGAATAATGGCCGACTTCCAGAACCTGATATATGTTTCTCTACTAAATGTGAAAGAGTTAATGAAAGAGTTATTTCCAGCACATAAATTTACCCAAGACCTAACTTGTATATAACTATTCATTCTTACTCCCTTATAACCAATTTTAAAAATCTGGTCACCCACATTCTGTGAAATGAAAATTTTAGTCCAGCAAAATCTGAGAGATTATGTGCTACACATGTAGTGCAGATGGGTGAAACAAGAAACATAAGCATAATTTGTGTGAAAAAACCTTTTGTAAGTAGCTACTTGGAAGATCAAGAAAGTGATAGGAAGCTAACATAAAGACAAATTTTAGGGAGACAGGTTGTGAGGACGAAAGGTGGATAGACTGGCTCAAGACTCCAATGGTGGGCTCTTGAGTTCTAGCTGCAGAGGCACAGAAAAGTTTACTGTAAGTTAAGAAATTAAAACATGCAAGTTATGTTTAGTACATAGCTTTCACTGAAATTTAAATATTTATGTAACATACAGGAAATAAGAAGTAACAGTAATATTCAGAAAAGAAGTATAGATGTTTCTGGAAAAACATACTCTATTACATTTCATGAACATATCCTTAGGTCCTCAATTATTTTCTCTGATAATCTATATTTATATAACTGAAAATGCATACAAATTCTAACCCTATCTCCAAGGAACTGCTTGGGGAGTTGCCAGTACACTGGCGTATCAAATGGATAAGTGACTCCAAGCTGAACATCTCCAATGTCACCGGGGATAACTTGTAAGTTGTTCGTGATGTTGAGGTGTTCATTAGGTCCAGCCAGACTCACTTCACCTGTGCCAGGCATCGCTAGCTGAAGCAGAACAACACACACTGCATAAATACAAGGAAATTGATATCATGTGATTAAAGAACTATACAAAAAACTCTTTCAGTCAGATGAATCTTTCTGACTAAGCAGTCTCATCATAATTCTAATGTCTTTCAATTTCAATCCCTTTGATAAAATTGAGAAGAGTGGGAAGGTGTACTACAAATTAGATTATATCCATTAATAAAATGCATTATTTAAAATTTTATATACCTCACTTGCCTTCAAGTTTAGTTATTGCTGATACATAGTGGAACAATAAAATTTAGAAGAACTTTTAGTCATGGAGTAAGTTATACCTCCATAAAATTTTATAACTCTGTTTGCAGACTAATATTTCACGTATCAAAGTTTGTAAAGTACTTAAACTTTAAGTTTTTAAAGTGTTTTAATGCTTGGAAATGAAACAATACCCTAACTTGGCTCTCGCACAGCAGTGTGATATTAATCAATCTTGATCACCTGTGTCATCTATAATTTAAAACACATACTCATGCCTGCAAGTCTCATACACTAACAGGCTTAAGTTCATATAAATTGTTGTTGTTACTGTAATATAAATATTCTACACATATGTTATGGTCAGTCACAAAGGCTGTGTAGGCTGAGGCATAGGTCTTGGTCAGTCAAACATGGAATCATGAGTCTGAATCCCACTAAAGGCATGGACACATGTAAGTGCCCTTCTATGTAATGTTCAGTGTCGGTAGAGGCCATGTAACAGGCCAATCCCCTAATCAAAGTAGTCCTGCCAAATGTTAAAAAAATAATAAAAAATTTGGAAAAAAGAATTAATAGAAAAGCCCAAGGCTTAGAGTGGGTTATAACACCTACAACACGCACTCATTATGACTGCTCGATATAGTTTTCTGAAATTGTTTTATAGAACTTGAGATGGACCACATCCCTGCATGGTAAAGATGATCAAAAATAAGGACTAACTATTAGATATAAATATACACACAGCAGATGCAAGAAAATCTCGTGATTTGCATGGAGGTAACACTCACGTTGACATAGCATATCTGTTGGATATTGACTGGGTAAACACTAGCACTGGACTGGAATTGTGGTGTATTTGAATCATACTCCACTGCTAGCGTGCGCACAGCAGGAGCCATCATTATCTGGCTTACTGTGAGGCCAGCTTGAGTGCAAGCTGTTGTACGCCCAAAACAGAAACACTGTGTGCAGCCATCAGGATTGTCTGCTTGTAAACCAAAGGTTCCAGGCTTACAATGATTACACTTCTTGCCTGATACATTTGCCTGTAAAAGCAAATAATACAACATACAAGTTGATGTTTTAGGTGTCATAGTTATATGGCACATATATAATTATCAATCTCTAAAAAATGTCACTTGATAAAAAGTAAGATCAAACAATGCATTGAAATAATGGCAGGTAGTTCATGAACATAAACAACATTTTATCCCAATACAGCAGACCCTCATTATAACATGTCGGACCTCTGCTATAAGCTACCAGAATCATAAGTTAAAACAACATTTATCTGATATAACCACATTGGAAGGCATGATCATACCAGCAGTATATCCTATTCCACAGCTCAATAAGGCACAGTACAATGAGGGTCTACAGTATATCTCTGACTAAATGAAAAGAGAATGTCAAATTTCCTTGCACTTTTGCTACTCTTAAGATTATACATAAAAACAAGAAAGGCAAGTTGTTGTCTTAACATGAAACTAAATTCTAAACTCATATAGGGCCATATATCATGAGCTGGCATAAAGGTTTCCTTAATAATATCTGTCTTTTAAAATTATGATTATTTTCAGTACGTATGTTAGCAAGGCTAACAACCTTGCACCGTAAAAAGGAAGATGTTTCAAAACCTCAATCAAAGCCTCGGACAGACGGACCTAACAGAGAACCGAATGGAAGAGGAGAATTGAGGAGGCCATGGACCAAATACGGACCGGAGAGCCATAGAAGAAGAAGAACAGTACCCTGCTAACATACATACTGAAAATAATCATAATTTTAAAAGACAGATTTTAATTTTGTATGTATGGTACTGAACATAATAAGAATATAAATACAAAATGAGCCTGTTTACCTTGCATGGACACTGTCCTGAATTATCACACACACAATAATCCTTAGTGACATCACACTGTGCTTCTACAGTTCCTGCCAAATGACAGTCACAGCGTTGGCACCGAGGAAAACCATGATATCCTGGAGAGCAAGAAGTGCAGCGATCACCCAGGAAACCTTCTCGGCACGTGCAGCGACCTGTATGCACATCACATTGCACCCTCACAGAGCCAGATGTATCACATCCACAAGGCTGCATGATAAAACAAAAATAATTCTATAAGATCATGTGATAATGAGGGTTTCACTACACCACAATTATGATGGGCATTGTCTTAGGTACATTTGACAGGATATAAAAACATTGAAGAGTTGGCTGTACTCCTGTTTTCAAGTAACTGGTTGTCTGAGGAATTTTTTATCTTTTATTTCACAGATTAGTGGCAATAGTTAGTACTAAACCAGGCATCCTTTGAATACTCTTGAACAAGTGGTAGCATGCAAGCCAAGCATCTGAAGTATTTTATCTTGACCACTGTAACTATTTTATAAAACAAAAGAAAACATTTGACAGAAGCTAATCACCTAAACACAGAAATTAGGACAACTTTAAAAATTTTGTGTATAAGAAATACACCTCAGATAGAGATATATAAAATGTCTAACACAACTGTGATGTAAGAAAAACAACATGCAAAATTTCAATTAAATTTACATAGGATGGTGTTTAAGTAGGATTTATTTTGTAATAAGTCTTTAGCATTTTAATGGTATTACATTTACCCATTATTCAAATAGTTCCTTAGTTCAGGGATTAAATCCTACATACCTATTTGACAAATGGCTATTTTTTTGCAAAATACATCATTCTATCAAAATATGTGAAATAAAAGTTCTTTAAGTCAAATTTTAGTTCTTATGGTGGCAAGTATGAAGAGGCTGTCTTCTGGTTATTGACATTTCAGGTGTTTACTGATTTCATTATTGCACTGATGATGGAGGCACCAACCACCTCTGAAATGTCAGCAAACTTCTACCACACTGTGTAACAACACAAAAGACAGCCATCTTCAAAAATTCGTGTAATTTTTCTTTTGAACAAGATACTTTTCAATACGCAGCAGTTTTCTACAGCTTCCCCTGAGAGGTACTTGTTATACAAAAACGAAGAATGGAGCAAATCTGTAAAACTAAAGTAATGCTAGTCTTCAAAAGAATTATAATAACAATCAAACATGGAGCATACCTTGCATCCTTTACCAGGCTCATATCCCCAGGCACCAGACTGACAGTGATCACATGTGGGACCAGTGGTGAGGGGTGGACACATACAGCGCCCTGTGTCTGGGTCACAAACATGACCCACTATGTCACATCGCTCACACTCTGTGAACAAGAGATATAGCAACATCATACAGACATACATTAAAATTTCTAATTACTACTGTTCAGTACTAAACAGCAGTACTGCCACCCTACTTGTCAATATACTGTACCTCAGATATGTGTGTCTCTGACAATATTGCAGGCATGTATCAGAATTAATATAAACTCTTCCATTATCAACAGAATTTTTTTGAAACTCCTTGATTATATATTTTAGAGATGAGATTCATCATTATCCTGTCAGGTACTGGGCTACGTAACCTATTGTAATTTCTTGCCATTTCTTCAGTAATCTTCCTAAACTTCTCTTCCCTGTAGGTTTGAATGTCATGATATGTTTTGGTATTTCATTGCTTTCCTGTCATCTTACATGGTGTTTCCAATTAATTCAGCAATTTTGTAAAAATCTGGTGACTGAATTTTAAATTACACTAAAATGTCTTAGTCTTGTTTATGATCTGTCAGTGGGTAACCTACCTCATTTGCTTATTTTACGAAAAATCATGGATTATCGGAGTGCGTAACGCACATAGGGAAGATGAGAAATGTGCACAAAATTAAATGTTTGTAAACCTGAAGGGAAGAAACCACTTGGAAGACCTAAGAAGCAAATGCCTGTGCTGTAACGGTTGCTTTGACAAATACCCATTACATTACATTACAAGACCTAGGAATTGATGGCAGGGTAGCATTAAAATGGATCCTAGGGAAATATGGTTACAGGATGTAGATTGGATTCATCTGGCTCAGCATAAGAACCACCTGAAGGCTCTTGTGAACATGGTCATGAACTTTTTAGTTCTATAATTGCAATAAATTTCTTAGTGTGTAACCTGCAGTTTTCATAAATTCCATTTCTGATAATGATAATCTCTTGTCTTTTGCTTTTCTGATCACCCGGGCCTCACTTTCATATGCACAGGTTTTGCCAGGGTCGTGTAAATGTTAAGTTTAATATGCTTTTGTATTATTAAATGTTTAATTTGTTCCAATCACTGGCACAAATGCTGATATTCTGTCTTCTTCCTTTATATGATTTAAGGCAGTCCAGATATCAAAAGTACTATCTTGCTGAAGAATGTTGTTACTTATAAAACTTATGTAAATCGTTCTCATAATGAAGTCTTTAGTTAAAATAATTAAATTTTTTATTTGTTTATTTTTCAATTAGTAGGCATAATAATTATGAACAGCAGTAAAATTGGTAATAAGTTGACAATAAAAATGAGGTTCATGGTCAAATTAATAGATGAATAAAGTCAGGAATATTTTGTTATAAATATTCACCTTCCTTTTGTCTGCATACGCTCACATTTTGAATGTATTTTCTTTCTTACTCAGATTCTACTTGTTTCTTCTTGATCTACCTGAGCATCCAGCAGCTGAGAATCCAAAAAATCCAGGGTGACACTGGTCACACTTGAGCCCTCCTACTCCAGACCTGCAATGGCACTGACCAGTTCGGACGTCACACAATGAACTCGCTGAACCCACACTGTCGCACTCACATGGCACACAGCCTCGGCTGGTATTGAGACCCCAAAAGCCATCCTGGAAGAATTCAACAGTTCACAAACTCCAGATCTGTAGCTCTGTTCTTAGAATTCACTACATAAACAAGCAGTTCTCTCCTAAGTAACACTAGGATTTACTGTGGATAATAAATTATTCTGATTCACTTTTATCTTCATGTTCTGTAATCAGTCAATCAGGAATCAATACAGGGAATTTCAGGTACTTTCCAATAAAGATGTAAATTCAATTTTAATAATATGTACACCAGTGGTCCCCAACCTTTTTGTGCCTACGGGCACATTTGAGAGTTTATGAGATTGTGGCGGGCACCAACCAATTAACAAAGCCAAATTTTCTTTTCTCCAGACAAATAAGATATGGAGACCTGTGCTTTGATTTTATTATGTTCATGGTTGAACGGCCTTCATTATTCAGTATAACCTCTTTCCGTAACAACGCGGGTACCCAAAAAAAGTCTTGGCGGGCGCCATGGCGCCCGCGGGCACCACGTTGGGGACCACTGATGTACACCATCATCAAATTAGCCATTAATAGCATGTTATATTTCATTATAGACCAACAAGGACAAATTTACTTCAGCCTAGGGACCCATTTAATTTGTGTTATACTATTTACGCTGCTTCTGCTATACAAGGAAGGAGATTATTATTATCTTGATTGCAGGTTGTAAATGGCAAGCTAAGCGCAAGTCATTGGAGATAGTTGGAGAGGTTAATGCCCCAAGCACTGCAAACATTTCATAAAGAGTTTTTCTTTATGCAAAACAAATAAGTGTCATGTGAACCAATGATTCATCATCCTGATGATGGAGGCAGTATGACCTCTGAAACGTTGGTCAACATCGACCAGACTACACAGCGCAACAACCCAGAAGACAGAAATCTTCATACTCATCACTGTGAAAACCTCAAATCTTACAATCCATAATTCTACTTCCATCCTGTATTCCCATTTTATTTTATCCGATAGAATTTAAAGAAATATGGAAGATTGGGATGCAAGGACAAAAGGTGTGGGACTGTATTTAAGTCAGGAAAGTAATTAGGATATGTCGAGTAATACCTGGCAGTTGTCACAGGTCCTGCCTGTGACATGAGTCCTGCAGGGACACTGTCCAGTCACTATGTCGCATGCAGGTCCTTCAGAGCCGGCCACATGGCATCCACAACCTGTAACACAAAATAAAGAATTTTAAAAGATAAACATGAAAAGATAATAATTCAGGTTTTACTACATTCCTGTATGTAAAGTTTACTTGCACTTTCATTATACACAGCGCAAACTGAAAAATTCAACTGACTGCATTACATTTTCTAAATGCCCTTCTTTCTGTTTGAGATTTTCCACCTCTTTTTGGTCTTCGAGTTAACTAATTTTACATATATACTGTATTTATCAGCATTCCAACAATGCACACAGACACAACACATAATCCCTGTACTGTTAGAAAGTGCACATACATCATACAAAAAATAAGTTTGTTTGTCTGTTGACGACATTAAATCTTAGAGAACATAGAAAATTTGCACTGTGGGGCAAGAGTTTGCACAATAGAACAGGACATAAGTATATGGGCTCATCACCACAGCAACAAATCAATGTCAAGCTAGACACGCCCGAAAGCAAACAACAGAATACTTAATTTTCTGCCCTGGACACTGCCCCATTGTCTAAGAGAAAAACAGACCAAGATGGAAGACAATCAGAAATCTTCTCCTTTCAGAAACCATTTAGATGCAAGTCTGAAAGGAAAACAGCAGAGAACAGGAAACTTAACTGAGTGAGTAACCCACAATGAAAAATCAACATTGAGGAAAACCAAGGAAACCATCTAATCAGTTAATTATTTGAGTACATTTGCCCTAAAGTGGTAGGTAGCTCTCTTCTTCGCATATGTGGGGGGAGGGGGGGAAGTGTGTGTTCGTCACGTCTGAACTAAATGCCATTTTAATTGCTTTAATTTTTTTCACAATTCAAGCTATTTGACCAGAAAATGCCAGTGAACGAAAGTATTCATCGATAAAAAATAATCAACATTAGTCCAGTACCTTAACTTACAGGCGCATTTGAATAGTAAATACGTACTTTTGTCCCATTTTACTAACAAAGAATGGTGACGCCGGTTTCATTTCTATGATGCAGACGTTTTGTCGTTTGTTGAGTCATCGCAACGTCTGAAATAAACCTCATAAGCGCTGAGGACGGATAAGAGTGTTATTCTGAATCAATTTGCATTTATTGGAAACTAAGCTCGTTGTTCCTTCACACAAGCTGCTTATGAATCGTAGTTAAACAAGACAATCCATCCATTTTTTTGTAATTAAATTAATTGATATTCTCTTCAGCACAATGTGCCAACCGGCTCTGGGGTCCAAAAGCCTCCAAACTCACATCCCAATTGCTTATGCCTCGGCACAGAGATAAATGTACTTTCTACCAGTCCTTAACACAGTGAAGCAAATTGCAACAGATTAAGGCAAATTTGAGCGTCAAGGGCGCATAACCTCACTACAAGAAACGAGAATAAAAAAAACAAGATATAGCCTACGGGTAGTTTTCGGCTATCCTGGAGACTGAAACCCGTCTCAGCCCTTCTAGTTTAGAGCACTACCCAGGAGGCCACGTTAATCTCTGTGTAATAACGTAAAGTATGCAAAAAATGACACGCCCGTTTTACTAGTACAAACATTTGGACATATTTTACTGCAGATAAAATCTGCAACGATTACAGTACGAGCAGCAGAACCAGTCCCCGCGCCCTTTCGCTGTTCAGATGGTAGCGGACAACACTCTAATAACAAAACCTGGTTTTAAAGCTGTGTTGCTGTTCTGTTGAACTTCCTCAGCAAGGAAAGTAGTGTTAGGGCAGAAACTGCTTCCATCCGTCTACATTGACTGCTTGCTATATAATGTACTGTGCTGTCTACAGTTTTGTACTTTCCAGAACTGAGACACAATTACGTCCAGTCCACCACTCTCTCCTGTTTTATACCCAGAGCAGAAGTAATTTTTCTTTTAACAAAATGAGATACTAGCTGAGGAAGCTTCTAGCTCTAAGTCTTATCCTGTTCTTAGTTCGTCTTGTTCCACTGCCCTTTCGTCTTGCATAAAGAGTTCTTTCTTATTCGCCCGCCTCCGCAATTTTTGATCGACCAATTACGGGGAGACTAGCCTTTCAATGAGAGCTGCAGGATTTTGTGTTGTTGACATGTTGACCCGGAAGAGGTGCACAACTGGGCTTCAAGCGCTGCCATCCACTGACGGCATGTCTGTTTACACTAACTGAAACATAACGAACTTGTGTGTGTCACTACCGTTACGAATTCGGGAGATACCCGGTTCGAATGTCAGCTGGAGAGTCGGTTTCGCTCATGGATTTTCGTCATTTTCCTGAGTCATTCAGTAAAATATTAACTAACTGCATGAAGCGAAATCTTTTTTTTTTCCCACCTATCAAGAAATAGCTACGCAGCCTTTTACGGAATTCGAAGTTCATTACCATTATCAGAATAGCCCGCTATTAGCCCCTATCCTGTGTCACACGGATCGAGTGTACAACCTCTTACCTTAACATTAAGATCCGCTTTAATGTTATCCGCCTTCTACGCACTGGCCCTTCAAATGGTCTCTTCCCTTTGAGGTTTTCAGGCTAAAATTCTCTGCGAATTTCTAATCTCAAATCATGTCTTCGTGGTGTCGTGGCCATATGAAGTATGAAAAGTTGAGGAAACAAGAAACAAGGAAAGACATTTTAGGCTATTCAAATTCCGTCTCTTAATTCCGTTTAAAACACACTTCAATGTCGTACTCGCACCACTGGAAAGTTTACAGCAGTAGAAGACCTCCAAAGTAAGAAGCAAGGGTGCTAACCACTTGACCGCTACGTTCAGTATGATTTCATAAGTAGCCAAGAATACACACGACATATTCAAGGCGTTGTAGACTTACTTGATTAGAGTTCCTTTCATACACGAGACTGCAATATAAACGCAAGATCTGGAAAGCACAGTCGCATTTTTGAATTATTAAACTTCTCTAACAGCGAGTCACATGACATTTTGAAGAAGTGTCTGTTTACTGGCACGGATGAATAGGGAAAATATTAGTGTAATTACAGGTAACACAGCAACGAATTTCAAAATATGTTGACGACAACCAGTGTGCCGCAGAAGTCACTAGAACCACACAATTCTCCACCACAAGAAATACGTGGGCTATACAACACATCTTTTCACACAATCGGAAGCTACATATCATAAATAACGTAAAGCTGATTGCAGGTTTGTTTTGTAGTGTTTATATGAAATCTCAGTATCATACAATAACCAACGCGGACTACGCAAAGAAAAGGGTGTGACCAAAGAAACCTGATAATTGTGTGTGGAAAAGGATGTCGCTTTGTCGCGCTGCAAAACGCAAACCATTGTACGTAATAACGTCTAATTTTCTGCGGCGTGGCTCGACCCATAACAAGGTGTTCCTTTTGTCGCCACAACACGGGGCACCTGAAGCCACCCAACTGAAGAAACAGGTCAGGAACGTGGGCAGTTTCTGACCCCAAATTACTGTGACAAGGGCCTGACGTACCTCAGGGTAAATGGTTCAACTATAGTACAATGATTCTGCATTGCAACAAGTCCGTGGGTTTGCTAATGGGAGAAGGAGCGGCGACCAGATCGCGTTGGCCTATGGACTGAGTGTTTGAAATCTTGTACTGACATGTTTAAAGAAGATTTTCACAGCGGTTCACTGCTAATGTGGATTCTGTTTCTGGGTGAGGGGCCGTGCAGATATACGAGATTGTAGTGGCGACGCTTCGGAGATTCCTACTGTTTTCATCTTCGAAGGCCTTTGAAGACAGTAGACGGTCACGTATGTCAAAAGCGACACAGAGTTTTAGTTTTGTCTGCGGCTACAAGATACGTGCAGCCTGTTTCGGTAAACACACAGCAAGAACTGACATACAGAAACGAACACGATGATATTCCTACAAAGGTCTTGCGATGTTTCAGACATCTAAAAATGAATGGGTTCAGAATTCTGCGCAGGATGGAACCAGAGAACCTGGTCCATGAAGCTACAGAAGACAGAATTTGAATCAGTATGTAGTTTTAATGTTACTAGTCGGCTTAGATCAGCCAGTAAAGTAATTACAGTGACTGGTTGGATGACAGGGGACGTATTTCGGGAGGGAGCAGTGATTTGTTTCTTTAACACCGCTTCCAGGGCGGGATCCCTCCCCCTTCCCCACAGCCTCCTACATTATGGGCATTCGTGCCTCTTCAACGCGGATGAAGTGGTCGAAGAGTGAAGCCAGACCACTCACCTCTGTCTTGTGCCAAGGTAAAAAATACACGGAGTTACACCTCTATTCTCCCATACAATCACACGGCGTTGTTCTTAATTAGCAGACACGCTTACTGAGTGTACAGCCAAGTGTTGCTTTATCGTGTTCTACTCACGTATGACGACAGCTCGCGGTGTATTTAAGAGCAACCACTCAGTGAGAAATTATAGTCTGTTCACTGCAGTTGACATTTATAGCGGTCACTTTCAGATACCAATGTAATCCGTAAAGATTTTTCAAAAAAAATTTTAAAGTGGAATATCTTGTTGTTCTCAAATAAAGACAGGTTGTCCCTAAAACATGTGTACACACTTGCAACGAATAAAATAAAACATCTTAATAAACTATACCATAAAATAAAATAAACCATTACATATGTCACAACATTAGCACTAAGTGAATTTGCTAATTTAGTACAGCTGTTCAAAATTGCCACCGTCCACGTCTTTCGTAAACATACCACATGGAGATCGATAACAAGGTTAATATTTCGTACTATAATGTGTACATATCTTTTTTGGATATCCTGTGAACATCTTGCCGCTGTACAATTCGGCAATCTGCGAAAATGTTAAAACCCTCCCACCTTTAAGAACAGAACATTTACAAACATATTACAGGTGCTGGCACGAAGTTTAATCATGTTTCATGTCTTCAATGGAAAATTAGAATAGCATGCATGTATTCTACTTGTTCTGTCTCGTGATTTATTACCACCTTACTGGTCTATATACTAGGACACAAATAATATCTGACTTTGTGAGAGCTCCATTACGAAGATCAACTTGTGTGGGAAATAATCGCTGTTTATTTTGAGAATAG